TTTTAAATTTTTTAAGGTAAATTTTTAAATTATTAAAATGAAGGCTAAATCTCATTATTATGCTATTACTTTGAATTCTAAAAATAAGAGTTGTATTATTGCAATCTTTGTAATAATTCATCCACAGGGCTTTAACATTCACCAGCTTTCCAAAATACTAATCTTTCTATAGACCTCATGTGAGCAATTTTTCCCATCCAGCACATTTAAAGTATTCTAATGGTTTTGTGTGTGTGAGTGTGTATGTTTTACTACTTCAGCCATAAATAACTGCATTTTGCTGCAAACTTATTAGGGTCACTGTTCTAAATTTACCTTAATGTTATTAAAGCCCATTAAAAGCCATTTTTATGGAGAAAAAAAAAATCTAGTGGACACAAAGAAGGATTTACATTTAATTCAATGTTTGTATTTGTAAATTTAGGAAAAAACGCTGATGCATTACGGTTAAATGCTTTGTTTTGTGTACTTGATGATAAATTGTAAGAATCCAGTTGTTTTAAGGTTAGTATAGGAGCTCAATACTGGTTTGTTCTGAAAGCAGCCTGATGGTGTTTTAACATGTTGCTGACTTTGTTACAGATAATGTGTACAATCAAAATGTATTAGCTTCACTTGACCAACTCTTAGAATATTAAGAAGTCAGTGTATTCAATGGCATTCTGTATTTCCGTTCAGTATTTCAGAGAGGTTTTATTTTAAAACACTCTGGTTTTGCGTGAATTTAAATGCTATTCCAATGTTAATCTTAACATTCTGAAATCACACACAGTATAAAGCAGATGTAGTGCTATATTTACTTCTAATTTCATATTCCTGGTCAAAATTACTCAATTTCTTGGATGTAATTTATTACAAAAGCTTATGTGTACATGTGAATAGACTATTGTGTTTTTCACAATTAAGATATGTTATGTGATAATAAATATTTATCCTAACTAATTTTCAATTTTATTTTTACACTGCAAGACCCAGAACAGGTTTGCAATATCATATGGTATTTGAAATGCCTACCTGACATTTTGCTTCACAAATTAATGAATGGTAGAGCTTAGTATTGCTCCATTTCCAAGTGGAATATCACTGAAACATGCAACGTTATCAGTGTTGTCTCACTGGGCGTAGTTGATGATGACTTGCTCTGACTCTAACAGTAAGTTGTGACAGCAGGGATAGCACACAGCTACCCTGTTGCAGGAAGAAAACGGGCATTTACTAATCACAAGTTCATCTCCCTTGCTCTTGAGAGAAGTGATGCAGACCACACAGAAGGGGTTGAGTCTTTTTAGTGTTTATAGGTAAGATCATACAACCGAAAATTCCTCAGTTCTTCTGCTCTTCTCAGGACCCTAAACTTCTGATACTGAAAAACTTTTAGGCCTTAAAGCCCAGTATTATTTACAGTATTGATTTCATTTTACTTAAATCCCTTTGAGCTTCTCCACCAGTTTTTAAACCAAAGACTATCAGCCTTCCAGCCTAAGAATAGTAACAATCACACCTCAGGTTTCAGCTACTTCTGTTAGGAATTTACACAAAGTGTACTCTACAACAAACTTAAATATCCCTTTCACACAGGAAAAAATGCAAAGCAAAAGGAAATTGGTAGCTGCCTAACTAACATGTGGCACTCCTCAGGCCACAAGTGATTTCTGGCTTTGTACCATAATGGAATGAGCTGGCTTTGTTTTGCTGCCTCAGTTTTAGGTATTTACCCATGCTCATGCAGTTCAAGCAAGTTCTCAGTTCCCTGAGGCAGCTCTATTATCTTAGTGCTTGCATGATTTTTGGAGCTGAGTGACTTCTCACCAGAGTGAAAAATTAGACACTGAATTGATGTTTATTAGGACACTTATTATAGCAATAAAACTTTTTTGTTGTTGTTTTTAAAGTTCCATCATTCTCTATCAGCAGGATATAAGTTGATTTCCACACAAAGAAATTTAAGATAATTAGCATTGTATTTTGTTATGCCTCGTAGATAAGACAGTTAAAAGAGGACTATGTAAAAAGAGTACAGAAGAGCTGCTCAGTGAGATGCTAGCATCATTAAGGTATGTCAGATACAAAGAACTGCATCTTTACTTAATGAAAGGCTTACCCAGACCATATAATTTCTACTTATTTTTTTTCAAAGAATCCTTCTCTGATTACACTAATACCTGCAGTTATTGAATGAGAGCCTAGTTAAAGCAGTTTTTCAGATTACAGAAATACTTTTTTTGTCTTTATGACGCTGTGAGTGGTAATATTAAAATAAATCTCAACTATTTACCATTGCATACACAAGCCATCCTTAAGTTCCTAATGATAATCTTTTTTTATAACCTGTGTATTGCTGTGATCTACCTTATACTGATTTCTGTTTCTTTCCCTTGAGTCAAAAGAGTGAGAGATGTGATACTATAACTTCTTGGAGACAACTAACAGCCTGTACTCCTATAAGACTTTAACAGTGGTGCCAGTCTATATTAGAACCACTCCTGCCTTGAACCCAAGATGGTATTTGTAAAACCCAGCTCCAGTGTGTTTCAAGGAAAAACCCCAACACCTTATTTTATGGGTCGAGTGATTGGTGGTTTGTTTGTGAAAACAAAACCTTATTTTCTACCTCAGCCTCCTTTCTCTTATCATTTAAGGACAAGCTGCACAAAGTATCTTAACATTCTCCCCCATGCTTTAGCTGTCTGGGTGAGTACTTTTTACATTCACATCTAATGCCACTAATAACCCACAATACAGACGTAATCACACGCTGGCATGTAATATCAAGAAGTTAAGTGTTAGATAATCAGGTCACACTCTATTACATGATACCATTACACAAAAACAGAAGCTTCACTGTACATCTTCTTTAAAATTAATGGGGATTTTTGTAAAAACTCTAAAAGGTTTTTTCTAAAGCAACATTTTCAATTATATGGATTATGCCTCCTTTAATGACTTGATGTCATTATTATTTTAAAGCAGCACAGTTTTTAAGTAGAAGTGGGTTGCATCTTTTCTAGCTATGTGAAATTGAGAAAACTAATCTTATCCTCAGATGGAGAAGCCTACCTGAAATGCTGAAGACAACTCAGACCTTTACTGGTAGGCTGTAAGGAAAAGCAGGTTTGCCAAAGAGCATGTTCACAGGAGAGTGATGGTCCAGCTCTTGCTTTAAGTGACTGCTGTTTTTCATTGTAATGTTTTATGTTTGAGTGTAAGGAAGAGAGCCTATTCATCGGTAAATAAGAAACTTCTACATTAAAAAAAACCAATGGCGGTCTTCTAGATTTCCCAGGAAAGATTTTACCAGAGTAGACTTGCAGAGTAGCAGCCTTTTTTACTCTAAAAATAAGAAATAATCACAGTTCTATATAGTAATATCAAACAAAGGAATGCAGTGACATTGGTTTGAGTAGGGTATCATTCAAAATGTTTGGTGAAAGCTGGATACATGCTTTCCTTGTAAGACTTCTACAATTGTAATCCAGGAGATTGCAGAGAAGACATTAATTTAAGGAACAGCAGTATAAACAGCCTTTCATTCTGCACAGAAAATATTAACATCACAGTATTCCTGATGATGATCTTAAAATAACAATTAGCAAGCATTACAGAATTCCTTCAAAACTTTTTGTCAGTGTTTTCACAGAAATGATCCCAGGATACTTTTCATTTTTGATAGAAACATCTTTGCTTTTATTCTGCAACTGATTTCCACATTGGTTCCTCTGTGGCATTTTTATCATTCATTACCATAATACACAAACCGGATGGCTTCTCATTTAGACTGAAATGCCAAAAACTAATAAAAAACTCAAGGAAGTATTATGCTTCCTAGAAGTCTGCAACATCATTCTGGTGATGTTAAGACCTGATTAACCACAATCAATAAAAATGCAGTAGTTGCTTGGCAACAGAAATCATAAAGATTAGCATTTCATTATGTACACTGGTATCCCAAGAGCTGACTCTTATCTCATCTTGATTTATACTGGCTCAGACTACATGATCAAGAGAGTTTTCTGGAGAAGTACCATCACTAACAGGCAAAATGCTGGTTCTAGGGCAGCAAGAAACACTGCTTTAGGAAGTGGCTCATGTGGGTATAAATATGCTTATGTGCTTGACCGGAGATGGCATGGTCTTTGTCAGTATACCACTGTGTGAAAGAGAAATACAGAGAGTGTTAGTTGTAGCTACATCTAAATGATATAAAGCAAACATGACAGGCATAAGAACATGTGAAGCCATTTAAAATTATCCCAGCATGAGGCCTTCAGCATGGAGGCAAAGATGTGAAGGGGTAGGAAGCTGCTATGACACTTTTGACTTGGCTTTGTGTGTGGGATATACTATGTATTTATGCTGAAGGCATAAAAGAACACGTGGCTTGTCCACATGGAGGGTAGATGCAACTGTACTGTTAAGAGGGGTGCCTGACCTCTTCCCCTGCCTGCTCTGCAAGTTTGGCTGAAGAACAACCATGCACTGGTGCACTTGGTTTCTTTCTATATGTCATCCTTTTTAGCACTGCTCCCCAAGGATTGGGAGAATGTAGGTAAGGAAGAGCTTGCACCTTAGTCTGAGATCTTCCATGTACAGTGTATGAAGGGGAAAATACCTGCTTGTCCTACAAGATCAACACCAAACATGATAGATACGTTATTATGGACTTAGCTGAAGCTAACATTTCCTTCTGTCTGTAAGGTACTATTTATTGCACTTGGGTATATGCAAAGATTGGGATTGGCTGTTTGAGAACACAAAAAGTTTAACAAAATGAAAGATTAGGTAAACAGGATCAAATATAAGAAAGAGTTGCTTTAGAGTTTTTCTTATGCAGAAAATACATAGGTACTCTATGTACAGATTTCAGTTACTGAACGTGAAATGCAGGTATGTGAACTTTCATTTAAGGTGGCAATGAATTTATACCTAACCACAGGGAACTTATGCTATTATTCTCATAATACAAACTCATTTGTATAATGATAAACAAAAAAGGACCATACCATTGCCTGAAAATCCACTTCGGCATCAACAAGAGCTTTGGAAATCTGTGCTGCTTGCTGAAAGTGAACATTATCTGAAAAGTGGAAGAGGAAAAAGGTAAACAAAAAATTGCTTCTGTAATACTCTGGGGGAAAAGCAAAGCAATGAACACACTAGACTCCTCATCACTGCTGACTGAAACACAGATTAGTTGCAAAAAGCAGTATTATTTTATTGACATAAATGTAACAGCCTTGCCCCTTCATGCTTTTGTTTTGTCAGTAGTAGAATTGCAAACCTGTCTGCAATACTAAAATGTCTAATTAACTGCAACTCACCATCTGCTGTTCCATGAATAAGGAGATATTCAACTTCCTTGAATTTTTCAGCTCTGGCCATTACAGTTGAATTCTGAAATTAAAGAAAAAAAAAAGAAAAAAAGGTGCTATTTATTAGAAGATGACTTGCTATCAACTGACTCTGATTCCTGCTGACACAGCCTGGGGTCCCTCAGATAAAACCAACCACCCCTGCTTTCTCCTCTCCGAACCACCAAGTAGCATGGTCACACAACCAACAGCACTGTGCTTGCCCTCAAATCGTTCTGCACCCATCTGCAATTATTACCAAGGGTTATGGCTGCAAAGTAACAAGCAGTTCCAGAGGGGAAGAGTTTTGAGAGCGAGGTACATGTTTAATGCGTTGCTAACATGTTGTTAGCCTGCAGCACACCGCTTGCCATAGGTTTCCTGTGTGACTGCAGACAAGTTAAAAAAAAAGTTGCCATGGCAACAGTGCACCCTATGATAGCAGGGAGTAGATCCTGCAGAGGCTACACACGTTATCTTCCCCACTGAAATGTATACTAGTTTACCTGCAGGTAAGTCAACAGAACAAACAGTTCCTCAGTCGCAAGTAAAATTGGGTTGTTTAAAGAAGTTTAAAATAATGCTCTCTCCAAATACGAGAGAGAAATGCCTGAAGGAAAAACACACTAGACTAAATCTCTAAATAGAAGTCAAGCTGCATTTTGGGAATGGAAGCATGATACAGTGATGAAAAGATGAAATAATCAGCACCTAAGATTAATCCAGAAATTTAAAACAAAGTAACATGTTCCCTAGAATATACTAGCCCCAGCTTGCTACTGTGACTAAAGAATGAAGACAGTAAAGATTGCAGATAAGATCTTTAATTTGGGCAAGGAAAGGAAATACCATATTCTCTGCCACAAGAGGGGAAAGAAGAAAAGGGACAAGAGGGACAAGACTTTTCAGGCTTCATAAAACAACCAGCCACTCTGGTAAGAAAAAATATAGTAAAAATTAGCAGCAGAAGAATTTAGTGGCTTGGTTTTTCTTCCCCACCTTGCACTAAGGCTGTATCCTTGCATAGGGATTTGCATTTAGTATCCACAAAAAGTCAAATACATTATATTGCCAAGACACAGAAGTGGTCTAATTTCCTTATGTCTCTTGTACACTCATGAATCTTTAAAGCAAGTATAAATTCTTTTTGTCATGGCAGAATAGTGTACCACAACTTCTTCACACATGAAATGAATTCTTTGTATTTATTCAACTAAATCTAAAAAACAAGTTCAGCAGAGAGAAAAAAAACACCCTCCAGTCTGTAACACTGCAGTTACCCTCTTTGGATAGTCAAAGGTTGCAGAGCACCAGAAATCTCAGCCAGTATATGGAAATCCACATGCAATGGAAGCATGATGCTATCCATGGAAATGATTTAGTATCACGTAAGAACAATTAGATCCAAGCGCCAAAATCCAGAGAGAGGACTTTGATGCACTGATAAAGCAGCTGACCAAAAAATCAATTCATAAAGAAATGGCCCAGTGATATGAAAGAAAAAAAAGAAAAAACAAGCAAGCAGTATCCTTTGAGTGCATAATTTTCCATATGTGCAGAGGGAAACTTGATAGATCACCTTGCTAAGCTTTCTTCTGTGAGTCTGTGCTGTTTTAAGCAAACCTTCTGTGAGTGGAAGCATGACTTAAGCTACACTTTTGAGAACGTGACTTTGCAAAAGCAGTTTTGGAAACGGATGCCACTATTTTTCCCCTTCAAGCATTAAACAAAATAAAGTTATTTGTAAAAATACTTCAGAAAGAAGAAACACAAGAGATATCTTCTCTGTATTTTTATCACTTGTAAGTGATGCTTCACTTGCTGTACACATACTCAACATGAACAGTCCCTTCCGTAAAACATGCTTTAAGGACACAGTACATCTGTGTCCTTAAAGAAGGTTGCAAGATTGGGAGCAATCTCAAGTTAGGCACAGTTAGAGGATAAAGCAACAGCGACATCAGCTGAAGAAACCTCAAGTGCACAGCAAATAAATACAACTTTATTTACCCTTCCATTTCATAGCTATACTGCTGGGACAAAGGCTTCCAAAAGGTAACGTGCACAAGTACTGGGAGTTGGGCCCTGCTGAGTGTAACTGGCTTTTCTAAAGATCACACAGCAGTCAACATTTTATCAGCACTCCACAAACAAGTTAAGGTTTGGCTGAAACTGAAGGTCTCTCTCCCTTTAGCATATTCTCAGATAATAGAACAAATGTCAAATCAGTACAAGATGGCATATTTACAAAATTGTACCCTGTTTTGCATAACCTAATGATGCAGCAGTTCTTAAGGACTGAACATTTCAAATCTGCTAGAAAAAGATTGCCAAATCTATGACTGTTTCAAACACTTGCCAAAAGCATATCAAATTCAGAGTGAACTGCAAAATAATGTTCTCACAAGTTGAACAGTCTCTTCAGTATGCTTTACATGGCTACTGCATCTGACCTCTAGAGCTCTGCCCTGATTTGGTCTCAAGTCTTAGGCACCAGGCACTTTTCTTCTGGGTAGACAGCTTGTCTGCCATTCTGCCTAGGATTTCTACACAATTATATTGGGAGCTCCACCCATGCCTGCTCCTCTCTTACAAAGCTCCATTCTTTAATAGTTTACAACTACCTTAGAAGACACTGAGCACACCAAATTAGCTGATTTAGGAGTGTGAGTCATCCCTCAGACTTGACTCTTGACAAAGAATATTTAACATATCAGATTCTCTGCCTTCAATAAACGTAAAACCTTATGTCACAGTAATAAAAAGGTAGGATGTGCCCCTCTTACCACAACTAGTTTCTCGAGTCTATATATTCACAGTCATTAATATATATTCAGTCATTAATAACACTCTGCACATTAGGAAGGTGCCTAGCAGTGTGCATCTTCTCTAAGCAGGTGTGTAAAAAGTCTCGTTTCTTTTAAATTAGGGCACATAGTACAGAGTTTATGAAACATTTCACTTTTCATGCCAGCTTTACAGCGGATGCAGTAGGATGATGAGAGAATATACGATGCAGCAGGCAAACCTGACAGTACAAAGTTAACAGTTAAAAAATGCTTTAACAGCTTCAGCTAGGAGAGCTTTCAATACATATTTTGCATTTACTTTAAAAACATTCAGTTCAGCTAACAGCTCTCATCAGTGACAAGGGGCCAGGAGGTTGGCTATTGGGACTGGGACATAGAACAAAGGGGCTGTAAGCCAGAAACATGCTGGGTTGAAGTCAGTAAGGGTCTTCAGCAACAACAAAATCCCACAGCTCTTTCACTGATACTACATGAAAAGCAACAAACTCATGTCTTGAGCTACCCAGCCCCTCCAGGTTAAAAGTAAAGTAAAAGTGATATATTACTTGAAGCTTTTAACAACAAATGAGGATATAAGTTGCATTTTCCTATCTCCAGGAGCAGCAGCGAAGTGTGACAATCTGATCTATGCAATTACTCCTCCTCCATCTAGCCACCATTCTCCCCAATTAGTCCTCTGAGTAACACATTTGAAACCTTTAGCTCTTTGGTACTGGCAGTTTCAACGTGGCCATTGCCAGCAATAGATACTATGCCAAGAAAATTCGACTCCTGGCTTGAAAGGATTAAACAGTCCTCTGTTGCCATCTGTGCCGTGAAGCTGGTGAATGACTTTGTGCACCCAGAGTGATAACGTTCGTTCTGCACAGCGACAGTAACTTGTATTTACAATGCTACCTCGCAGACCTCCTACTGTTCCCACTGCCTTAAAGAAACACATTTGGAAAAAGGTAGACAGGCGGCTGCAGGCTGCTGGACAGTCCCCGGTGGGCTCCAGGGGCTCACTGGTTAGAAGAGGCAGACACAGTACCAAGTTGTCCAGCAGTCACTATCATTGTCCTTAATCTTGACCAGAATGCCTCATATAGAAGTTGACAAAACTAAATTCCGGTAGTAATATGTCAAACCAGATGTTTCAGTTCATATCGGTATGTATTTATATGTTTTATCATACTTTTAAATCAATGTAACAACCCCTCCCTTTGTCCTACTCATCACACTTCTTATTTTAATGCACATAACCAGTGCTAAACTGTCTTCTAGCCTATTTACCAACCCAAACACAGAAAATGCCCCATTCTTTTTCCGCTAACATCAATGATTGATTCCAGCATCACCATGGCTGAACACCTCTGTGAAACATTCCAATAACCAGGGCACAAAGTACCTCTCAGATCTCTCACAGTTCTGCGATAGCCCCTGTATTTTCATCTAGACCTGAAGTGGAACCTAACAGAAGGCTTTGCTGCTTTGCCCTGTGCCCAGCTACCTGTGACTTCAAACAGCCGTTAACAAAAAGCAACTGGCACATGAAGAGCAAGTCAAACAATTCAGCATGCCATAACAAGGACAAGCAATGATATTTTGCTTCCATTGGGACACATGGAAATTCCCTCCCTTCTGTGCAAACACTGGTAATTCTAGAACAAACTTTGGACACCCTATGTTCATGGAGATTGGGCCAAAATTCCAGCCCTGACACCGCTGGCTCTCAGTGGGTCTGCAATTTGATATGATCACAGTATAGACAGACTTGCCTACCTGCCAGAGTTTTCCGGTATTTAGGAGATTTTGCTTTCCCTGAAAAAAGCTTAAGCAGGAAAGTTCACACAATCCCCATTTTTTTAAAAATTGCATTCCAGAAGGAATGGGAGTACATTTGTTTTCGTGAAAAATGTCTAAGATAAAGCAGAGTTTGCCCACGAACATATTAAATTTTAAAACAAATTTGTTCCTTGGTGATTAAAATAAAACAGTGTTTACAGCCTGTTTTACAGTCTGCAAAGTACCCAAATGGAACTGAATGTAAAAAAAACCCAAACCCCAAAAAAACAACAAAAAAACCCACCAAAAAAACCCAACACACTAAACAAACAAAAGAAAACCCACACCATCCATCAAGAAGTTGCCTCATAAAAATCCAAACACATGAGACTACAGGCTCTAAATGCACAATGCAGCAGTTCTAGCTGGAAAGAAGAAACAAACTTATTGCTTCCCATGGGGAAGGAACTAAAGTGTTTAAAGAAGAATACTGTTATTTAGAAATTAGACAAAACACTAAAGAGCAAATTAAAGTGATTACTTTCTTACATGATAGTTTTGCAGATTATCACTTGCTGTAGGAAGGCCCATGTACCTCTCTGTGTATATTGAATCTGTAATTAGGAAAAAAAACAAAATTAGAATCTGCTACTTAATTTTCAGTCTGTCTACCTTAAATTTTACCAATACAAACAGTAACAATGCATACTGGAAACTAAAAAAAAAAAACCCACAAAATAAAAGTAACCAGGTTTTCCACAATGAGGCATGTAGGTAACCATCATTATTCAGAATATTTAATCTTCTTGTTGCCATGGACACCTGAATGCTGAATATTAATATAGTACTTTGTGTCAGTGTTTCCCTATTGTTATTCTTTCAGTAATGCTTAAAAAATTACTGAAAATGTTGGAGTAAATAACTAGATTTGAAAAAAAAAAATCTTAGCTTTTTTATCTAAATGTTAACTACCAAAAATAGATAAAATGAAATTGTAGTGGTAAGTTAGGATTCATCTTGGCTCTGTCATACACAGTAAAAATTAAGTATCTCTGATTTTCCACGGATTTTTCACCACGTTACATTTTGTAGATTGCTGTTCTGTTTTAAGCCATATAATCAAAGCTCTGGTGCCATATTCTAATGCCCATTTGGCTTCTCATCAGAGTTGTCACACTGGAGGTTTTTTCATGCTGAATATGCATGCCTCCATAATCCTTTATCTAATCAACTAAAAGTGGAATTTGAGAGATCCTGACCATGAAAAACTATTTTCTGTCATAATATAACATTTATGCCCAAAATATGAAGAATCATTATGTCCTCAACAGACTACTGATGATACCTGGCAGTATGATTTAATCTGCTGAATCTGCTCAGTCTCTGCGCTAGTTGCACAATGACAAATTATGCCTTATTTAGCAGAGGTTTGCCAGGGAAAGCTTTCTCTTGAATACTTTTGGACAAATCCAAACCAGAAAAATGTCAAAATGTGGTCCTGTTGTACCAGCACGTATTTACAACTATATATATGTATTTTTTTTAGTCTGGGAGGACCGCCCATATAATTGTATTCATAGCCTCACTCAAGCATAGCATTATGCACTATCAGCTTGAAGCACATACAGACTTGCCCATTTGAACATGTTTTCCTCACATCAAGCTATTCTCAAGAAGAATTAGATTTATAAAATCCAAATTTTACACACTAAAACAACAAAAAAAACCCAAACGCTGAGACACTTCAAATCCTATTCTGTTACTTTCAGAGAGTAAATTACAATGCAAGTTCAGTGCTAAACCTCACAGTTCATTCTCGTAAGTGAAAGTTGCATTTTGAAGACACAAAACCTAATGATGAATTTCTGACACAATACTGGTATCAGAACACATGGCAGCTTTGCAAACACAGGCACATTACAGTAATATTACAAATATTACAATAATTTAGCCTTCATTAAAAGTTAGAGATAGCTGGAAATTATGGATCTGACTTTTTAAAATGGGAATTAATATTTAGCGAATTGATTTAATTTTGAAATGCAGTAGCCACGAGTTCATAAAAACAGACCAAGTGGCATTTACATGGCATCTAGTAGATAATCAAAGTTCTGTGCTATGAATCAACACTTTGCAGCGTGTGCACTGCAAGACATATGGGAATCCTTGTAATGAGGAAGCCATCACATACCATAATATTGCCAATGTGACACGGGGGCAACCGCTATTCCACACTTGAACACGCCGCTTCCAGAGCCAAGCACCATGGAGGTCACATATCCCCCATAAGACTGAGAAGAAAACATTGCTGTTATTTTAGTCGGAAAGGAAAGGATGGGGCCCATCTGCTGCACAGTTCATCAGGCATTTATAGGCTCAGCGTTTTTCATATTAATGAACTCCATTCTGAATTTGGGTCAGATCTCAGCCAGCCTGCTCAGTCGGGGAAACAGACATCAAACAGCGCATGGCAGCTGTGGCACTGATGAATGAGAACTTGCTGGGGAAAAAGGGCGCAAGCGCTGCTGAACTGTGACTCAGCCGAGGATGACAGTGTTTGGTAGCACCGTAGGCAGCAGCGAAAGACAGGAAACAAGACAGTGCTGAACCGCTGTGTCCCTTCCCGTGCTGGGGGAGTGGGTGGAAGCAGAGCTCTGTCCCACAGTGTACATGATGAGTAGTTGCAACAGGGCATCCAAAAATTTACAGTTCCCTAGGAGCAGGCCTATGGCAGCTCGCTCCCTAACTCTCCCCGCAAAGCGTCAAGAGCAAGACTGTGACTGGGGAGCAAAGGATCTTCTACTGAGTCTGTGGGAGGAACTGTGCAGCAACACACTCCTCAGTACACACAGAAAATTTACTTGCAGTCTAGCCTGATACACAGATGAGTAAATATCTGACACACTTGAGCATCCAGGCAGCGAGACACCTATACACTGTCACCAACCGCCCAAATGACTTCCCTCACAATAGTTTGAAGGCACTATTTAGGAAAACGTGCCCACCCACATTCAAAAAGGAGCAATTTTTGGATCTCATTTGTGTCTTGAAACCAGATTACAGGCAAATGGAATTGCATCTTAGTTGATAGTCCTTAAATGTTTGCTCCAGCTTAATTCTTAGGTCCATCCAATGAGATCAGCATGCACTTAGTAATTAAGCTCCTGTATAAATGCCTAAACTACTCACAGTAAAGATATTACTGCTGAATCTGTGGCAAACAAAATTAATGTACATAGTGACAGGCTGACAGTGAGAGGCTGACAATCTGAAAACTCAAGAGATAAAGAAGGGATAAAGAGGTTCAGTATTCCGAGAGCATAATCCCAACCTAGCTCCAAAGACGAATGCTCTTCAACTGTTCATCCTGAGGCTCATAAGGACTTAAGATGCAAATGCATTGTCCTCCATGTCTGCAGAAAGAATTTTTCTCCCACTACAATTACTACTACTACACATGAATTCATAAAACAGAGGTGTTTACACCCAGAAAGAAAGCTGCTAAAGGCACTCTCATCATCATTTTGCCATCAAGCAATTTATTCACTGGTGCCTGTCATCAGCAGTGCCCAAATTTCAGTTAGCAATTTAATTCAAGATCCTGCATACAATCCTGCATATACTTAAACACAGTATGCCTAAACAGAACATGCAAGAATTCTCCCTGTGAACCAAAACAAGCAGTGAAACATCAGCCTGGGACAGAGGACTGTTCAGCACTAGAATCACTAACACTACATACATACTTAACCTTGCAGCTGAGGGGGTATCTGTATGCTATTAAACACTTCCATCTACTGTGACAGGTTTTAAAGATCTATCAAGTTAGAGAAATCTGGCAAGTACCACAATAACCAAGCCACGCAGCTGGTTCACATATAATTTCACATGTTTTTTTAAAAATTAGGCATCCAACTAGAGAGATACTAATGAATACATACTGGATTTTGTTTCTTTTAGTGTTGGTTCATCCTGTACACAGGAACTTGGTAGCATCCATTTAAATTGTTTTAAATCCCTCTAGTAGTCCTAATTTCTCTTACAAAGGTTCCTGAATGATTGCAAAGGGGCACTGTATACAGGCATTTGTAAAATGCACTTCATCAGTTCAGTTACAGGATTGTGCCGTGACTCCAGAGGTGCCTCACATGACGTGCTCCCCACCCCACACACAGCACAACAAATAGCTCTTACAATTAAATAATGTGTCTGCCAACATGATTTGATTACTTACCCAACCCCAAATAGCTATTCTGTCCTTATCAACAAAGCTCATTTCTGAAAATTTTCTGAAAGCAAACAGAATAATTAAACACTTAACGGATTGCAAGTATATGCCATTCTACAGACGTGCCCACTTCCCATCAAGTCTGCCTCTTTCTATTGTAGAAATACGTGTTTCCCACTTCATCACAGTGACTGCACAGGAAAACATACAATAATTCAAGTACGTGTGTCTTCAGGAAATTCAGAAAAATACCTGTGCATATGACACTTTAAAATCCCTCAAATGACACTCACTGACGTTTGTATTGTAGTAGGTTAGACTTCACTACCTGTCTTGCCTTTTTTTTGTCTTGTTTTTTTAAAGACGCACAACGATCAAATTGTAGCAGAAAGGGACAGGCTGACACATGAAAATCCAGTCACCATTAAAAAAAAAAATCCCAAAGATTGTGAAAACTATGATTTGTTTAAACTACTTAATATTTTAAAATCCCAAACAGAAAACCCTGTAAGACCGCTTCATTGTTATTCTGAGAGATTTCTACTGTGATTGTTTGGTTTAGTGGTGTTCTGCAAACATAAACCAAATGATAAACTATGATGTAAAAGCTGAGTATTTCATACAAGTAACTTCACCAAAACAGAAACTTGCAAAAAGCCTGGAGTAAAACTTCTATCTCCAAGTTCCTTTGTAGCGTGTTCTTCTACTAATGTGACAGTTATCCTCTTTATAAAATAAGAGATATGGTAAATTTGTATTACAGCATTAACTCTTCTCTCTTCTCAAGCATAAAATGATGGTTGGCCCATAAATGACACACTTCAGTGAACAAAATTAATGCAGACTTCATGTTATGTTTATGTTTTTGCCAGTAATTTCAAGATGACCTTTCAAAACCCTCACCATTTTTCCCACTGCACAATAGGCACATAGAACAAGGAGCAGGTGTTGACCTTTCCCTGTAGCTCACCTGGCTGCCGCTATCTGATCTTCCACTTCATATGTTCCCAGCCTTCGGTTTATTGCATGCATAATTTCATCGCCTTGGTATCCACTTCCTCTGCCGTCAAAGCTGGCCACAATGATCTGCTCGGTGCTTGCAAGGTAAGTAGCCCAGCTGAGCTCAAAGGTATAGTCTACTTTCTGACTACAAGGCCCTGCATATCTGGGTGAAAAGTGACACAGAATTCAGGCATTTACTCTTCACATATGCTCACATCAAGCATTTGAAATACAATTATCGCTGACAATTTTCGGCCACTAAAGCAGGATAAACTCTTCAAATTCAACTGAGCAAGCAAGAAAAGCATCACTGACTGACTCCAAACTGCTGCTTTACCAGAACTGAAAGCAGTATGCTTTCTAAAACTACAACCAATCAAGAAGGCAGACTGGATTTTTTTTTTTCTATTTTACTGCTTTCTGCTCTAATAAGAAACTTTCATTATTTTGACATTAATCAGCTTATCAGAAGTCCAAGCTAAATTTGCTTTTGTTTCTTGAGTTTCAAAGTAATGTTCTCTAACTATTTCTGTTCCGTTCACCCATGATTTAATTGGTTTAACTCTGAAATCAACAATTAGCTTTCATTTGGAAAAATGAATAGCATGCATTTCTAGTGTCTCATCAGTCTAAACTTCTTCTTATGCAGGCTGAGAAAAAGGAAAAACCCTATATTTCTAATTTTTTACATTAAAAATATTTCAGAAACACTTGATCAATATGAAATTATACTCTGAGTGCCTTGGTGGTAAAATTCTGTGCACTGCACTTCTCTGTTCAACAGAGCAAGAAATGGAAGAATGTTGTTATGGTTCTATAACCCATTCTTATCAGTTTTAAAAGCAAAGAAGAAACTACTCAGAATTCTTGATTCAAGCTATGGATCTTGATACTTCTGAAGGAATTTCTGATCACAGTGAAGCAGAGGTGATCCTGAAAAAGGTCCAGATAAGTCAATAAAATTCTATCGAAACCAAAACAAGTCTTAAGAAGCCAAGAGCACTGGCTGCTCTTTAAAAATGCTTAACAGTCATATCAAAAAGTATTACAGTGCTACCAAATTACATTATATAAAGATTTATCTAACAAATAACAGTTAGTTTCCTTACCAAGTCAGTTTTTTGTAAAAAGAGGGAAAGCTTGACATCTCTATTTTAATGAATAGCTAAAATTCAATAATTTCCATTTAGAAGAAAATATACCAGCCTGAAGAGAAGTGCCTGAGGAAGAATAGACCAAACACTGTCTTGAAATTATGAAGAAACAACAGCAAAAGCAATCCTGACCACAGGATGATGTTTGTCAACACTAGCTGACAGTCAAATATCACAGAGAAAATGCAACATCACACACACTACTTTAGGATAGAAGGCTTATTCAAGGTTTCATTCTGGAATGTCACTTCATTGAATATTATTTCTAAAAATCTTCAAGAGCAGACGAGGAGGTAAGCTAACACTAAAATCCTGGCTTTTAAATCAGATACAGAATGTATTTGCCTCAGTGCCACTGACAGAGTATGTGCTCTTTAAGCATTACATCATCTTACGGTACAGGAATCCATCATGAATTAGGATACAGCTCAATTTTTCATTCTGTCTTAAAACTACTTCAAGAAGTAATTAGAAAAGATGCCAGTTTTGTGTTTCCTGATCTTATTAAGAGCATTTGAAGTAGATGAAAGTGATTATTAACACAACATTGCCATGTAATTGAAAACTTACACATCAAGGAGCAGAGGGTACTTCTTTGATGAATCGAAATGGGGAGGCAGTAACATTTCATACCACAGGTCTAAAAGTGAAAAGAGTTTGACTCAGGTCAGTTCTTCAGTGAAATAATTTGACATGCACTGCAATTCATACAAGAGCACATTTGAGCCATCCCCTAAAAATTAAAAAGCAGTTTCATCTGAACTGTCCTAATATATACAGCTAGAAGTTCCTAGCTAGTCTATTTTTTTGTTTTCTAAATGTTGTGCAGTTAAGATAGCAGAGAGTAATAAAATTTGGGGATTCAACATGCTGTCTCATAACATTATTCTAAGCTTACATGCAAAACTTTTTATGTCTCTACAGTGGTAAATCTATCACAGGATCAAAAATAAAATTTCTCTCCCAGCAATAGAAAGCAATTCTAAATATTTTGAACCTGCCAGATAGACTTTGCATGACAGTTTGTAAAGCATCCCAGAAACATAGCCAAGTATCTATTATTTCTGAAGCAACACTGATTCTGGTTCCATCCATGTTATTCCTTCCACCCAAGTTGGCTGAGAGTAAGCTGAATATTTTAAATGCGCACCATTTAAGTTTTGCAAACTGAATGGCTCAATTGTTCAACCATGAATTTTAAAAGAACTGATGCTGCAAAGGAACCACAAAGCAAATGCTGATTGACTGCACTGCAGTAATAGTCAGACTGCAAGTCTTAAAGAAATTTTCCCAGATATGAATATGCAAAGCATCAGAACACTGAAACCTTAACAATCTAAACACATGAAAATACTAATTTTAATTTTTTTGTGTACTCTCTAGTAGCAGGGGTGAATTTCTTCTTTAATTACATACATGGATTTGTGAGCGGACTTGAAACTTGAAGTGGGACTACATATATGGATTTATTTCTCCTATTTGTGACATTAAAAATAGTTTCCCCTTACCCAAAAGCTTTTACCCTGAAGACATGAAGTAGTAAGAATAAAGAGGAATAAAAAAAATGAATATACAACTGATAGCACGAAGAACATCTTTAAATCTCCATCTTGCCTGGAAGATTTCATCTTTACCCTAATAAAAATGTGACAGAAATAAAAGACAGAAAACACAAAGATAAAGAGAGTTATTATATAAATAAGGTAACAGTGAAAGAAGGGAGGTATCAAAAAGAACAGTTAGCAATGACTGACCAAGCTCAATATGGTTTGTAAAATATAATTTTATTAAGAATATCCATTTGTTTTGAAGAGGAAATTTCGTCATGAAGAGAAAAGCTAGTAGCAAAGGTTGGAGCACGAACAGTTTAGACAGGTACCAGGCCTTCCACTGTTGGTCTAGCTGATGTTGCTCAGTCTAGGAGCACACCAAGACTGTTTTGTTACCCAAATTCTAAGGAGCACCACTCACAAAGCATTAACAGTTAATATTCTAGATTTTGTTATGGTCTGTATTGAGGTTTATGTAGTCTTGGAGCATGAGTGTACTTTTAAGAATATGCCTGTTCAGTCTGAATGTTCCCCCCACACACAAAACCAAAGGTGATACTGAAATGATGCTTAAAGGTTTTTTCAAGCTTTTCCATTTAGATTGTGCCTGCTTTTTTCATAGTAACTGAACTTCTCCACTTTCCCAACCTGCTAACACAAACCAAAGCAACTTGCACCTGTAAATTAAGACCAACTTGACTTTAAATTCAGTGCTTACGAGCTTTGTGCCCCACCCTCATTTATCTTATTTATTTTTTTTATTTAATGAGGTCTTGGAGACTTCTGTTTTTCAGTTTATTATAAAGGAAAAAAAGGAGCTAAGCCACTTCATCACGAAAACATCAAGATATCACATTATGGAAAAAGCACATTTCAGATAAGAATATTTTGGGATTTCAGAAAAAAAATCATCTTGCCTCTAAGTGCTGAATAACTGCAATAATCCCCACTACACCCATCTGTTCTGTCATGCTCTTCAGCAGAAGACCTTGAAGCACTTGGTGAAAAAGGGGTAGAAAGGTAAAAGACGTTTTTGAACTTACTGTATCCACCTACACTAAGGGAGCCAAATTTTTTTGAAGGCATCTGAATATCTTTCAATGCATTTTCCAGTTCAGTGTTATTTTTCAAGTATCTGAGGACTAAATAACAGAGTAAGTAAGATTCAAAGATTAAATACATTATTTTCATATAAACTGCTCTTTAATTATGAACCACTAAGTATTCAATCTGAGACAACAGCAACCTACATTGCAGTTTTTGTTTTTCCTCTCAAATTCAATGTTTACAATTTTTACAATATAGTTTTCCTTCAGTTATTTAGTAACCAGAAAGCTATTTTTCCTGTTTTTCATCTAAATGCAGTTGAAGAAAAACTGAACAATTATCCAGTAAATAAGTCATACATTACTCACTGTTTTCTAGCACAATGTAAAATAATATTAAATAAACTATGAATAAAGGTATGCCAAGCTATATAATTTATTCTTCTGGTAGTTATTTGAAATTAAATTTACCCTTTATAGTTGACATTTTTATTACTGTACTAAGCAATGAGAACAAAATTAAAATAAATTTACAGTGCAATTTTCTGCCTCAACACAAATTAGATTTAAAGATAATCCCATACCTTGATCATCAGTGCTTCTGTGCAGAGTAGACATGGGCAGGCCAGGACCTGTTAATTGGGCACAAAACCTTCATATTTGCATGCTGTCTTGAAACACAGCCCTCATAAAGTAATTGGAAACAGGTGAATCATAAAAGCTCAGAACTCATTTCCCTCCAGTCTGCTCAAGCTCGATTTTAACTGAGTAGGGCCCAAATTCAAGCCACAGGATCCCACAAAGTATTCATACTGTCTCACAGATGAACCACATTACTGTGAGGGACTGCAGAACGGAAATTCCACTCTTTAGCAAAGCCTATGCATTGGTTGTGGACCATGGTTGGGGAATCAGTAAGCCTTGTCACCAAGACCACAGCAGTAGTCTTCAACCATTTTTACAACCTGACAGAACAATTCCCTCTCTGCTGTCTGTCCTTCTAGCTCATAGATAAGGAAGGTCTTGGCATCTTAAAAATCAGCATAAATTTCAATTTAAAGAAATTTAGGGAAGATTTCATTTTTCTTACCCTTGATTAATTTATCCCTTGTACTATCTAGTGCAAGCAATTACAGGTCAGAGACAGACTACAGTCCCACTGCATACCTTGACTACATTTCTTGGTGGTTTGGGTTTTTTTGACCAGTACTATCTATCCTAATTTTATTTCCACACATGGAGCACTGCTCTTTACCCAGCCTCCTGCTTGTCACACTTTCAGAGCCTCCAAATTCCTTCCACAGGCAGAGCTCCACATGCAGCTCTTGAAGAGATGTGAACTGGACAGGAGTGTTTTGCAGCTCTTTCAGGTCCACCAACAGACAGAAATAACAAGTTTTATCCTAGTAATTTTTGTCAAGGTGCTTTTGAACCTAGGAGGCAGTATGTTTTTCCACTGCCAATGAATTTATCCAATGTTATCAACACATATTGTTAGGCAGTACGTATCATGATCCTGATGAAGTGAACTTCCTCACCCAACTAATCAGTGAGTCATGTTTATGTCAATTAATTCCGGATATACTCACCAAGACAATTTAGCTGATAATACCGTGCGTCTTTGCTGAAGGACACAGAATAATACTGGCATCTTTCTTGATTCAGATCACAGCTAACACATTTAGTAGAACTTGGACTCCCTTCCAAGAGCACTCTGCAAAGTTGAGCTTCATTTCAGAGATTACTTTTTTTTAAGCTACGCTAAACTAATATATGCTTTTTAAATAAGATGGTTGAATGAAATCTTTAAATTCAGAAGTGATTAAATGATTTAAAGATTAGAGAAAACAGACGGAAAACTTTTCAGTTCAGATGATATTGAAATTATAATCATAGTAAAAAAAGCATGAAAGGTTTTCCTTGGGGCTTTGTTGCTTCAGGATTGGTTGTTTCTTCTCACAACTTCCCTTTATGAAGCAAATTTACAGAAAAATATTTTAATTTTTGCAGTTTATACTCTTACACTGATTTTCATTAAATATCCCATAGAGGATCCCACCTTAGACTGAACTTCACAATCTTTAGGTTTTTAATGCTTTTTCTTATTTTTTTTCATTAACAACTGTGTTACCCATAGTGCAGAAAAAATTTCTTACTTATAGAGATTTCTTCCTCCTGGCTTTCCACCATTTTCATTACTAATGTAGTATCTATAAAAGCAAAACATATTGGTTTTGGTAAAATATTTACAGTATATTACAACATTTAAAGGTTTTACCTCACATGTTTAAATCAGATTTTTAATGAATTAAATGACGCCTTCTCCCTGTTCTCCATCCCTGCTTGCTTAGACCCTTGTTACCAGCCCTTATGACAGGAATTAGTAGCTCATTTACAAATACTTACAAGAAGTCTTTTGTTACAGCTTGTATGCTGATTACTTCCCACCTCCCTGAAGTAATAGGTACTGGAGCCTGAAATAGGGGGGTAAGGCAAGGTAAAAAGTAGAACATGAAGCTTCTTGATCACCACGAGAAACACAAGCCAGCACTGACTGTCCTACACATTATTACTCACCTGCGAGCCGTTTATGTAATGGATGTGCTTGTAACCTACTGCGTTGCTGAGGACTTTGTAGTAGGTAGCATTGTCGGGTGCAAAGTAAGGGACAGATGGCTGAAACTTGAAAATAAGAGAGATGTCTATTAAAGCAAAAAACAAAACTCCAGACCCAAAGCGATAAATTTAGGTTTTGATATCTCTAACTGTGAGTGTCAATACTTTAAACAATGCATCACTGAATGTACTGCAAAAATTTTTGTCTACTGACTTAGTAGGTAGAACCTGACTTAGTAGGTAGATGATGTAGCCATCATCGTAAAAGTAAGCACACTTAAAATATTATCTTGCTCCTTAAGCAGCAGAATTTCTTGAGTATTGGCCCTGAAAGTGATCTGTACCCCCTCCCTTGAATTTGAAGTACTTCAGGTGTTCTTATTTTTTTACCATTTCAGGAAACATATATGTACCTACTTTCAAAGTCACTGTTTTATTCTGTCCAATGCAGCTGTAATCTATAAAAATGTAAACTTCACAAATACATGTTTCACATGAATTTTACATTTTAAAATGTGTTTGTGAACAAATTCTTTGAACTCAAATTTTTTTTTTGGCTTAATAGTAAAAAATGTCCTGCTCTATTGAAAAAAACCCAAACCCAAGCTGCTTTCTAAGAAGAAATTTTGCTGGTAAGCAAGTGATTACAGAATGACATGGAACTAAAACTGGAATGGTATTTTCATGAAGGAACTATCCATTTATCAATTGAGAGTGACAGAAATTAATTTCTTCTAGTGACTGCCATTTGAATGTGCTACACATGGTAGAAAGAAAAAGAGGAATGAAACTGAGCTGAGTGAAATAAAAGATACTTCTGTGATAAACGTCCAAAGGATCTAAATGTTAAAATCAGATTTTTAATAAGTTAAATGACACAACTGACACAATGCAGTTGCCTCTGAGATGTTATACCCACTTTGAAATGGAAAGTGAAACAGAAAGCTGAAGTGACTTGCCTTTGGTCATTCAGTAAGCAATGACAGAAATTAAATCTTCCTAACCCATGTGCTCCAAATAACCTCTCCATTTTCCCAAGCAATATTTTTGCCAAAAGTAACCTGCTGAATATTTTGCTAGCCTTTCCCTTATCACAATCTTGCTTTTTCAAAGTGTGACTTTTCTTCAACTCAGCTGGTAAGCTCTAAGTTAGCTGATGACCTGGAAGTCTTTTACAGTTACACAGGCTGCTCTGAGCATTCTTAGATTAAATAAAATTTCATCTCCATTAAAAAAAAAAAAGGCAACCAGAAAACATTACAGATACAAAGAGAGTACTATATGTCTATATTTTATACACATATATAATTTACTTAAATTTGTATATACATATGTATGTGTATATATACATCTCACATATATATAAAAATACTCCTTATCAGTCAAGTAATATTTTGTCATCCCTAAATAGGTAAAAATAAAAGTAAGGAATAAATATACCTTGCCTATCCCCTCTTCAATTCTCCCTACTCTCCACTCCCTTCTCAAATCCAGGAATCATACAGTGAGATTATCTTTTCTTCCAACAGCTCCTAAGAAGTGGGTTGTCTCTTTAAAAGAAACAAAAAACCAACAACCTAGTTTGATGGCACAGACTTGCATTTTGCCCTCTCATTTTGCACAACTGTTTACAAAGTCTGCAGCTTGATCATCACATTGTCTAATTGTGAAGCCTTTGCTGCAGAGAAGCAAAATGTGTCAGCGTTAAGGCCTTCCTTTCCATATCAAATTTGACAGCAGGTGGGTTGATCTCTCATCTTCATACTGCGGATGATTTCATCCCTGCTGTTGCCTCCCTCTTTGCATTTCTTTAAACTCTCATTTTTGACTTCAAAAGTGAATTAGTGACTAAAGCATAATCAGTGTGTGGAAAATGCGGGAGTGGAGTGTACTCTGTGTTCTCATCAAAAACTCTGAAACTCATTTCTCCCTCCAAGTCTGAACTTTTGCATCTCTGCTTCACTTCCCCCAGATCTTCTGTGTAGTTCATTAGGTGCCTACTCTCTACCATGTATGAAAGGACTGAGAAGCAGCTTGGAAAGCATCATCCAGACAGCAGTGACTGCTTTGCCAGAAGCATATGAAAATTTTAATCTGGTCAGTTATATGCATCTTGTCCCCACTTCTCTTCAATGGATATTTCATGGGGAGGGGGCGGGGAGGGGGGAAATAAATAAATAAGTAGCCCCAGTGAGAACCTGGAATGGTTTGTAGCAACCTGAAATACTAAAAAATTACTTTTGTCCTCTATGCCTTTCTTCCAATATGATTCCAAGGTTATAGGATACGCTTCTTTATACATTTTATTCTGTAGATCTTTCTTGAGGTGGCAGGAAGACTAGAAAGCAGCTAAACCAGCACAGCTGGCAACTCCCCCAGTACAAAGGGAATTCTGAATCCTGGCTCCTGCATTCCCCTCCCTACCTACTGCTACCAACGCAGCAGGTCAGAAGTCAAAAGGAGTCTCAAGAGGGTGCTATGCTTTTTGGCAAGCTGAATATATAATCATAGATTCATAGAATGGTTTGGATTGGAAGGGACCTTAAAGTTCACCTAGTTCCAACCCCCCTGCCATAGGCAGGGACACCTTCCACTAGACCAGGTTGCTCAGAGGCCGGTCCAACTTGTCCTTGAACACTTCCAGGGATGGGGCATCCACAGCTTCTCTGGACAACCTCTTCCAGTGCCTCACCACCCTCACAGTAAAGAATTTCTTTCTAATATCTAATTTAAAGCTACTTCTTTCAATTTAAAGCCATTATCCCTTGTTCTGTTAACATGATGCACAGGTCACAGAGGACGCGGTTACAGCTCCAGCCCACGCTGCACTGTCAGCCCAGCCTGGGAGTTCAGAACCCCATATCCCCCAAACAAAAGCTTAAACTCAAGGGTGGGGTGGCACAGCATCTCCATTTGAGACCATTTTTTCCTTTATATATAAAACACAACGAGAGGATGAGACCTGCACAAAAGAGGCACTGCAAAATGCAAGAAGCTCCTATGAATTTTTCTTAATTATCAGAGTTATTTAGAATGTAGCAGTTTTAGAAATTGAACACTCACTCTGCCAATCCAGCCAGTTGTGCTTTCTTCCGTAAGTTGTTTTCCCTAAGAAAAAACAAACAATCCCATTACAATGATGTTTATTTTACATCAGACTTTATTTCTAAAAAGATAAATATACAGATATACTCTACTTCTTCCTAGTTTCATTTGTCATTGGAACTCTTCTACCTAATTTTTCTTACCTGTGGACATGACCAATTACCATCTTCAAAGTCACAGACTGTAAGGACTGAAAAATTCTGAATTCTTCTGAGCCACTGCAGACAAATCCTTTCATCTGTCACCCATGTTACAGCACTCAAATAATGGTCCCTGAAAACAGCAACGGCATTAGATATTTAAAATCCTCTCTGTAATAGCATACCATAAGATAGCATTCAGCAATTCACTGAATGACACTCATCTGGCTATTTTCATTTCAATCTACTCTTCAACAACAAACAATAATGCAAACCTAATTGAGCCATTTTTTTGTCAGTTGTTTTTTCTGCTAGTAGATGCCTTGGTTATTTTCAGAGATACAATAAAGAATTAGATAGTTTGTACAAACCGACTTCCGGAAAGACTGCAATTAAATTCTAACAGCCAGATCACTGTTCTCTAATGCATAAAATAATAGCTACTCCAGACTGTTCATAAATCTCGTACTCTGTGCATCTAGAGGAAATTTTTCTGAATATTAAGTTGCATGTGCCTTAGATTTCAGAATTTTATCCTTAGCTGCATGAAGTTGGTTGCTTGCAAGCATGTTCTGAATGATACATATTTTTGTTCAATTTACTAGTTATTTCCATTAGTTACAATGGAGGGAGAGATCATACCAAAACCAGTTATTACTATTTGAATATTTTACTTTAATCTTCAGAATACAAAACATTTGACATGGAAAAGTGGAGTATTTGAAAAAAAAAATCTTTGTGGATATTCCTGTATAATATTTTTAAAAAGGCACCACATAAAATTTTGTGGTTTTGTTTACCATTACGATCTGTTAGATGTACTGTCTTTTCTTATTTTAGATCTCTGCTATCTCCTAGAAGCCTTATGAACTAAAATAAAACAAACCTCCCCTCCAAGGCAAGTATACATTTTTAACTGGAATTTGCACATTTGACTTAGTTCCAAGTTTATGTTCCCTTTTTCCCCCAAGTTAGTTAACAAAAATGTGTGGGAAATTTTGTGATAAGAGTACCTTCATGATCACTGCGGTTTGGGGGGGGCGAAACACTACAATTAGTGTAGATTGATTAAGAATATATGCCAACTTGTTACCAACAACTTTCAGATTTATTTCTAGCTTGCAGTTTCAAAATCCTGTTTGGAAAAGGTTTATTTTTGCATTTATATTTGACTGGGAAGTCAGTAGATCACTTAATTGCACTGGCTCCCTGCAGGAGCTTGTTTGGAAAAAAAAAAAAAGAGAAAAAAGAAACTGCCATTCTTCATGTACCTATAATAGTGGTTTCCCTTGTTTTGTTTAAGGGGAATTAGTCCCACAGTTTTCATTGCTTCAAAGTCAGAGAAATTAACAGTTCTGGCAACCATAAATCATTCATCAGACAAAATGGACATTACAAGGAAAAAAGAATTAATAATCAACAAATAAATTAATAATCAAGCTATTATTATAATGTAATAAATAGCTTACTGTTATAATTGAGAGTGGGAATGCACCTTCAGTATTCAACAACCCACAAACTGTTAACTAAGCTGCAATTAATTCATGTGTAGAGTATAATAGTTTTGCACTGCTCTTCCTCATTTGCTGCTGAGAGGGATATTCTGCAAACAGTCTCTACTCAGAAGTCAGCTGATTTTAGGACAGATCATTTCAGTAAAGAAGCATCCATTCCCTACATCCTCCTGTTGGCTAACAGGAGCCCCCTGTATCCATGATGCCAAAAATGGTGTTTAAACACTATATGGATTTCATGCTGGTAATTCGCACAAAAAATGTCAGGTTTCATCTACCATCATATGGTAAAGCACTGCCATTCCAGATTTTGGCAGCTTTTCTTGATAAATAGAACTCTTTATCTGAACCAGAAGTGTGGTTCAAATGTGGGGGTACAATTGCTGCTCATATGAGCTCTGGATAATGCTGTAACAGACAACCACTTGCAGGGGCACTGTCCCTCAACATCCCCAACCAGGCAGGTGGGGTGAGGTATACCACCATAGTTTTACTCAGAATTTAGCTCTGTGGAAGTAAAACCAGAGTTTATCCACCACTGAAATTAACCTTTCCTGTCATACAGTGGTATAAACACCATGTAAATATTCATTACTTTGTGCTTCCAGGAGCAAAATTACCCAACAGCAATACTGCACATTGCTTGCCTTTTCCTACTCGTGTATCTTTGTTCTTGCAAAATTCCCAAAGACTCATTCTGGCCACCTCAACTTTTGCAGGACACGTACGGTGAAACTTGACCATTATTTAGATCAGCCACTGGGAGGAAAAGTAAATTTTGATCCTTGCACTCATCCTTCAAGACTTATCTTTGTATTAATCCTGATTTGCAGAGCGCTACATTCATTTTAAAATGGATTACCTCCACATAAATCATGACTATGTTAGACAGATGGGTACGAGGCTGTAAAGTAGCTGATGGTTACTGTCCTCACATCAACTATCGTGTTAACAAAAGGTAAAACATAACTGTAAGACAACAGAGATCTTAATCAGTATTAAGCTAAACATAATGGCCTTTTAATTCTGAGGCACTGAAATTTGGGAGAAAAACAGCACATGACAGCTATGTAACATCCAGCTATTGCAGTGCTACTGTAACGAAAGGATAAGAACAACATATTCATAAAAATTCGCATATCTTGGTTAACACATAGATGTTAGTTAGACTGTGGTGAGGACTGAAATGGGAGATCACTGATATTCCAGCTATAGCTTTTTGGCCACCGCATACCAAATACACATTTTATGCAAAGCTAACAGACCTCCTTTGTTTTTTTCTGGTTTATCAGTATAACCTGTGCTTTCATACCCATCATGTTTGTAAGTGTAAACCTCTAAAAAATTTCCACAATACTGTTAAAAAGAAAAAACAAAACCTGAATTCTCTGTGCATGCACTTTAAATTGATGTAGCTGCTCTTTACAAAATACATTTATATCAAGTTGTGCATTTCCAGTGGCATTTTGACAAATACAATTTTCCATTTACTGTGAGAGGTGCTGATTTTCACCAAGTCTTCAAAGAAAACAAACATTTTAAGTATACATCTGAAGACAACCATGATACCTTGCCTTAGCAAGGAGTTTGCTTCCAATGAAATCAAATCTTCACTTACCATTAAGGTTTTGTTTTGGGTTTTTTTCCCCCCAGTGAATTGGAATACATATATTATAATTTGATTATACCAAAACTTGCTCATATTAAAGTTGTACTGTGAAATGACTTCACCATAGTTAGACTCCACTGAATGTGACGAGCCAAGAACTTGTCACATTCTGAATATAACATACATGGAATATGCCATCTATATATAATCACTAGGAGGATAATCTCTATGCAGATTTTCTCTGGTAAATCTTGTTGCTACCAGAGCTGCATGACAGGGAAAAGCTGCCATGTACACTGAATATAGGGAGGTCACATATAAAAGCTCCTCCTCTCCCACCAAAAAAAAAACCCAATCAAATATTTAATCAAAATTTCTTACCCTGATTTTATTTCTGTAGGTGGAGGAATTTCAACAGGGATTGGATTTGGTAATGACCTGGTATCCACAATAAAGAATCGCACAATTGGATTTGTAGTTCCTGCCTAAAAATAAAAATTTTAGTTGTATTTTGAGGAGAGAATACTCTTGGTGAATTAAGTGTTTCAAATTATAGGTAAGCTACTACAGAAGGAAAGGTAAAACCAGCTGACTTCAAATGTGTGAAAAGACAAGTTCCTAAATGCAGTTTTTAAGGTTGATGCATAAATTATCGTTTTTATTTCTTTATACAAAAATGTTTTTTATGTGTTTCCAGATAAGAAAGACTACTACATTTAGAAACATTCATAACTACATTGGGCTTGCTGTACCCAAAGCAGTATTTGACCATATCTCATCCCTCATGCCATACAGAGTGCCTAACAGTGAGTCAAATCCATTGCTAACACACAGTAAAGTGCTTCTCCATGGAAGAAGCACCTTACATTAACAAGGCACATCACAGCTACCTATAGCACAATACAATCTGTGACTGCAGCACGTACTCCACTATTTTTAATGTAGTGATACTGGGAGTAACATAACTCTGTCAGTAAGGGCTGCTTCTCTAGAAGTTAACTAGCCAAGTCCTCATCGTAACAGTTAGGTAGCTGTACTTGATCCACCTCCACAAATCAGCAATATTCCAAACAAAATGTGTTTGTAATAAAATGTGTAATTTAAATTGGCTGTTCATTCTACACCTTCGTCTCTTCTTATGCACCATGCTCAGGACAGAGCACCTGCAGCTGTCAGTGCGCCCAGCCACTCATTGGGAGCGTCAGTGACCCCTCTGGAGAAGGCTGCAAGGGGACAGACAAAGGCCATGTGCTCCAGAACCTCTGCAGTGACATGACCATGGCTGCTGCAGAGGAAGCTGAGCTTGGCATGGAGAGGGTGGCTTTTTCACCAGGCAAACAGCCATAACAGCTGAGTGATCAGCCAGCTGTATCAGCTGTTCTGCCCCAGTTAATCAAGAGTGGAAACATCTTCCCGAGATGGCCAGACCATCATGGATTGGGGTGGGAGGAAGAAAGGGGTATATGCTGGCACCTTAAGCCAACACAGAGTATAAAACCCCAGTGATGAACAGAAAGAACTAAAGAAAGTGATGGGCTTGAGGTAGTTTCAACCCATCTATTCCTTCCCAGCAACAGGGATGCCCAGCACTGCATTATGCTCACATGAGCATATTATGGAGACCAGCTATGGGAACATATTTGAATTGAGACTCAGCAGTGTAGGGCAACTGCTGTTCTCTAAGTGTAATTTGTTCTTGTTTTGTGTCTTGAATGCATTGCTCTCATAAATCCAAATCCCACATATGTCAAATAACTTCACACAGGTAAGTCTTGTATTAAACATGAAACCCTTCATGTCTGGAGTGGATGAAAGAAACTGTTAGAGCACTTTGCATTCTAACTCTCACTCCATTCAGTCCAGTGCCAACTGTGCAAGAGCATAAAGTCATGTGGAGAGGAGGAGGGGAAGAAGAAGGAGCTGCTTACACTAAAGTCTTCATTCTCACAGCTAAAACTGGAAGACCTTTAGGTTTGGGCAAAGAAACTCCTTCAGCAGATTCCTCTTCTTCCTCTCTATACAGGAAGCATCCAGCAACTGAAAATGCTACCTTAGTTGAAGAAGATTTCATTATCAATACCATGCACAACCCTAACATAATGTACATCTGCTAAATGCTTTGTACCGACTTCAAGTCCCTGAGACCTTTTTGTTCCCAACATCTACTCGCTACCTCTAAATTTTATGGTGAAACAACAAAAATCTTATATCATCCTTTTTTTTTTTTTCCTCCTTTTTCTTTACCCTGGAGATAATAAAATACTTTAACATTGCCAGATGCTGTTGACTTCAGAAAGAGTAATCACAGCAAGCTGTTGAGGAGAGACAGACAATATTTTCATTAGCAGGAACTGATTAAATGAGACTACTCTCTTAATGAAACTGTAGAACAAACATGTTTAATAAATAACACCGACCTTGGGATACGGGATTCTAATGGTCTTTGGATACTGCAAGGTGTCCTCAGAATAAAAGGAATACTCTATAACAGGAACTTCTGTATCATCAAAGACAGCATATGCCAAAAAATTGCCATTTGGAGACCACCAAAGAGCAGAATTGGTGCCAAACATTTCCTCTGAAAGAGATGGAAATGCATTTAAGTTATAATTGATGTTGGCTCTTCTATTCTAGGGCCTGTTCTCTTAAGTTTTTAATAGGATTTTTCTTTTTTAACTTGAAATTTAGAAACTAAACTGTAGACTATTTGTTGGGGTTCTGAAATTAGACATTAGACCAGTATTTATAATCTATCATATGAAGTTAATTCACACACTAAAATTTCCAGTGATGCACTGCAAGTTATGCAAACTCATTTCCATTCTTTGATCCTCACACTAGACAGGTATTAAGCTCAGGTAAGGATGCATGCTTCTTTTAAAATAGAGATTTTGATTAATTTGAACTTTTCAATGGTAAGAAATGAGATCATAATAATAACTACAATAAACAAAAGGTTTATATGATAATATAAAGTAAGACTTGCTTGACATAATTACCTTCATAAACCCAATCTGGTATTCCATTGAAAATTTTATTTTCTTCTCCATTTTGAGTGATTGCCTCAGATTCTGCTGTTGGTGAAACTTTTACATAAACATTATTTTTCCAAACATATGCCTGCAAAACATCATCATGATGACAATTACTATTATGATAAATCCTGCTTCCTTTCTTTACTTCATCTACTGGGAAATTCACACCCAGATGACAAAAACCATTTTTAAAAGTTGCATTTCCCCAGTCATTGATAATTAACAAACTTGGAATTACTAATACAAATCAGGTGTAGCAACTTAACCTTGTTTTTTTGCAAAAAACAAGTCAGCTATGGTAAGTGACATGACTACTGTAACAAGTTTTGAAAACCTTGCTATTCATTTTCTGCCAAGATACAAGCTTATTTTCCTTTGCCAGGAGTTGTTTTTCACTAATTTGTCTTTCAAACAAAACTATCAGTGCTTTGGTAAAACATTGACTGGGGTCTCAGCACTACCAATAGATCTGCAAAGACAGTACACTTCTGCAGTAGCACACAGAACTCCTCTAGTTTTTGACACCTGGCCACCTCTCTAATCACCCCTGGTTTTTCTCTCTGGTAACTGAACAACAGAGTTTTATTCCAGAGCTTTGCTCCAAGATGCAGAAAGCTCTTTTCATCTTCCTGTGCTTCTGTGGTTGGTCTCTATAATTCATATAGTACAAGCAATGAGAATAAATAAGCACCACATTCTCCTGTGACAGTCAGATCCAACACTCACCATAGGGAATACACAAGCCTTGCAAATGCAGTGGCTTTCACCATTGAGGATTGGAGGGGAGAAAGAAAAGGACAGTGGGAAAGAGTACAAGAAGATTTTGATCCTCTAATCCCATTACATGCATTCATCAAGTAAAACTTCATTGATCATTGTATAATTAGGAGACAAAAATCACAGTGATGATTAAGCAGACATTCATAATGCTGCTGCCTTTGAAAGGGATGAGCTCTTGTCTGTAACTGTAATAACATGAAGTTCCTGTGCATTTGTGCATTACATGACTACTGGGGTCACTACTCGCTTTCAGGAATGCATTTTCATTAAAGAACAAAACAAAACACAGAGAGGGATTTTGGAGTCTTTCCAGCCAACAGTAGTCAATTTTGAAATAAGTTCAGCTACTTTATCTAGCAGTAGAGAAGTCCCAAAACCTCAAGAATATAGACAATGCGAGTTTCCATGTCACGTGTATGAAAATGACAGTTCATGTAAGTGTCACTTATCTTTACTAACCAGTTTGTGACCAACAGGTGACCAGGATATATATTGTGTATCATTAGGTAGTAGTCCATCATCTAAGATAGAGCTGGAAAAGACAGAAACAAAATGCAGCCAAGAGAAATCAGTGAAATGACATTTCATTGCAAAAGAATCTTAAAACTACATCTCATGTGAAAAGATTACTGACCTGCTACTGAAATTATAGATGTGATATGAAGCTGTAAAGGAATGCCTCCACAACTGTAAAAGAATTATTTTAATATTAAGAAACTAAATTTCACTGGATTTACATCTCATGCTTTTTCTTAAGACAGAACACAATGAACATACAAGGGTAACAGATCTCTACAAGGTTTAAGAAAAGACTAAAACATTGCCACCCCTCTGGGTGAGGTCACTGACTGATTAAGGACAGATACACAGATGCCAGAGATAATGCACTTTTTCAGAAATCTTTGCAGTTACATGGCAGACTATTATCACTATGCAGAGTAAATTCTCCTCCTTGTGCCTTACTGGCTTGCTTACTCTTTTCTGTCTCATTTTTCATGTTGTATTATTGAACTTGGCATCTTATAGTAGTTCTCACAAGTCCCACAGTATGTATGTAGCAGTTCCTCCAGTACAGGGTGACCTATTCCCATTCATACTGTCACAGAAATAACCCTCTTCTCTCAGAAATCTGCCTCTTGAAGTCTGTATCCCCCTGTGGGCACTTAGAGAGAGAAAGATGATGATGATAATGCAGACATTTAAACATGTTCATGTTGGCTGGAGAGGTTTGATTTAGCCCACAGTGTTGACATGTTACGATAATGCTATCTTCTATGATGGTTCTTGAATATTTGTATGAAGATATAAAACAACAACTTAGTACTACACAGCCAGATGGCTATTACATAACAAGTGTCTACATCCGCATGATTCATTTTGTTACTCTGTTTCTTTGCAATAAAGATTAATAATAACAGAACTTTCAATCACACTATTATATAAAGGTTAAAAGATCTTGTTTCAGCATTAAAATAAAATTAACTCTTATGAATGCAACAAATAAAATACTATAGAGCAATAAACTATGAGTAGACGTGATGTGTAGGGTGACTGGAAAAATATTAGGCGTTTTGTGGCCACTAAAGATGCAGTGAAAAGTTAAATAATTCTGAACAATTCAGAAAGATGAAAGGTCACTGGCTTAAAAAAGGTAACCCAGCGAGGAAGCTAAAACTGAAAAAAGCGATGACTGAGTGCATGGACTGTGCCTGGCACAGTGTGAGAGCCATTCATGGATTGCCAGGCCAGAACATGTAGACAGAGCTCAGTGACACAGCATTTAAGTATCTGTACACTGCAGAAGTCAGTACTGAGCTTTTTACAAACAAAACAGGGCAGCTCTCTAGAAAAAAAAAAAAAAAAAGGAAAGAAGCACAAAGTTACCGGTTTCTCAGTGCACAAACTGTACAGCAAATTATTGCCTCCAGCAGGCTCCTCATTTGGCACACAGAGCCAGGTTTTCACGCCACCTGGCATAAATGTAGGTTGACCTTTCTTGCACAGTTCAACACCAAGCCAGTGTGAGGCATTTTGCTGGAGGCTTTTCATGTGCTTGCTGACAGCAGGGAACAAGGACACACAAGTCCACTCCAAGCACAAGCCTTCTCTTGTAAGCACATGCTGCTTTTCAGTCACCTCAGTTCTCAGCTCTTACATCCTACCACCACAATGTAACAACCACACACACACACATATATATATAGCATACACATACAAGCAGATGTACCAGCATATCTACTCATCACTTCTCCTTACCCACACAACTCCTTGAACAGCCATGCCTATCTACTCTTCTAGATTGTCTTCCCAGATGAACCATCCAGCCTCGCTCTCCTTGCGATAACTCTCCATCCATTTTTTATCCAGATGCTTTTCTCAGGCAGTCATGCCTTTTCTGCCAAGCTCACAGATAATACCAGTCTCTTCTCCTCCTCCTGCCTGCTCAACTTGGCTATTCCCCTACATATATCCATCTCATTCATCCCTCCTCCTGCATTTCCCTCACATTCTCGCAGCCTCTCAGTTGTTCTCAAACCTTTATTTCCCAGTTTTATCCTCAGATGTAAAGTGCACTTGTACCTTTCTGTAGTTGTACCGCAGAAGAGCAAACTTTTGGTCAGGAGACAATATAGCTGTGCTTGCCTTGTACTGATCCTGTCAACAAAGGAAGGGAAAAAGGAACACATTAAGTACTGCTTCTAAAGAAACGTGCAGAATAAAACAGTAAACTCAATACCTTTCCCAATGTCTGCATATATTACATATAAGTCAACATACTAATGTTGTATTCGCCAAGATTACTGAGGATGTTCCACTGTCAGCACTGATAAGCAGGATGTTCCCATTATTTGTTTCATGGAGATACTGATTTCCTAGAAGAACAAGAGAGATGGTCATAGTAAGTTAAATGTTTATCGTTTACTTCTCTTTCCCCCTTGTGTTTATTAGCAGGAAATAAAATTCAAAAATCTGGTCAATGTTGTGTCCCAGTTCAGTAATGAAAGGATGCTTATAGCACAACAATGTTCACAAAATGTTGTCCTCACAGCATCCACCTTCTAGCATCTCTTTCCCTTGGGGCACTAGGCGTATTCAAAAGGAAAAGTGGCCTGTGTCCTCCTGTTCCCTGGCAACCTGATGCAGAGGAAGCTGACACACTTCAGTGGATAACGTGCTTCTACCAAAAAGCACAAAAGTATGCACTTTCAGCAGTAGGAGAATATAGCTTGCCATGACTGTGAGCATGTACCTAAGGGGGGAAAAAAATCAACTCTTTGAGCTACACACTCTTCTATTATGGTACTATTAAATAATTTAAAATTTTTTCTGGATACAGTGGTCACCTCAGCATGAAGAGATGTGTTTACTGAAGGCAGTACATTTTCTTGACATTTAAGCTGTACGGATAAACTAATTACCTGAAATCCACTGCAAATTATGGGGTTTGTATGAATAGTCATTGTTCAAGTAATTCTGTAGAGTGTACGTTTTTCGTGAATCAGACTTCGAGGGACTTTCTGAAAAAAAGACAGAAGAGAGATTTTGATGTTGCTGCAAATTGTTCCACCCCAGCTTCTTAACCTGACTACCAAGTGGGTTTTTGTTGCTGGTTATTAAAGTGTTTAAGCTCTAAACACCTCTAAAGTACTAGCAGTGGGAAGGCAATAAAACTTTACTGCATGATAAATTCAGCAAGCATCAAAGCATCAGTAAAATCACTTAACAAACTCATGGAAAAGAAAATACTTTTTTGACAGTGACAAAAATAAATGAAAGACCTCTAGCCATCTTATTTCAGCAAACATATACCTGCACTTTCAAAAATTGGAAAGAAGCGATCTTAATGCCTTTCTCCCCATGCTCACTCTGGGAAGTTTCCTGCAGAGCCCCAGCTGCTAATACTTACATCAGACATCAACTGTGGGGTGGATCATGCAAAACAGAGATACAGATGCTCATGTTTGAGAGTGGGGGACAGGCAAGGTTGTCCATATGACTGAAATGTGACATCCCTGTGAGTAAATGTACAGACCTTGAGAGATACCCTAAAAAGAAAGTGGCTGCTGTACTTGATCACATATTCTGTAATATTGCTGTTCCTGAACCCTTCAGTTGTGAATAATCTGCTTATGATTAAACTCAAATTTCAGAAATGTCTCAAATAAAAAAAAAATCTGAGAAGCAGTAAAATTTTCAGGGAAGGTCTAATTAAAAAAAAAAAAATTAAATCACAAGCACTTCCTGATAAGCCTATGACGAAAGAACTAGTTAAACATTTATTCCTCTCTTGATGTGTTTTTCATCAAGGTATCCTAATATTTATTGCAATGTTACAATTTTGACTGGAAAATTAAAGTCAAGTAACTGGGTTACTCTGAGAAGACCAAGTGAAACTCTGAACATAGTTAAGCTAATGAGTTTGGTCATCAGCTTCAGCCCACTGCAGTCAACCTCTAAGAAAAATATTTCTTATTGGCTGCAATGCATATGCTGCTCTTTCCAAAATATGAAAAGTAATAGCAATAATAATAACAACAACAACTCGGTCTGTGAATTTTTGTGATCTTTTTTCCTATGAAAACAAAGACTACAGTTTTTACATTCAGGTGTGCAATTCTCTCCCTGCTTCCTCTCTACCTTTTTTTTTTTTTTAATAGAAACCTAAAACCTCCCTCGTACAAACCTACACATTCCAGAAGGGAAGCAATTTTTATTTCAACTGGCCAAATCAAAAGACTAGAATAAAATCAACTGATGAAAACACTCAACTGCAGATGTAGTGACCGATCAACCAAGATACTCAGCATGTCCCTAAGAACTGCCTCTTCTTTCATTACCGTGAAGAAGAAAAAGGGTATAAAGTCCTTGAGGACATGCACAGAAAAACACCTCACAATAATTTTTGCAGGGTATCTTTCTGCAAGTTAAATACACATGTCAACTGGAACACAGCAGGAGTTACAGCTGTTACAGCTTTACTCTTATTTCCAAACAATAAGCAAATTGTATATATACAGCACAGACTGTACAACCAGTGCTGCAATAAAAGTCAAGAGACATAACAGTGATTTTAGTTTAAAATGCTCAGAAAAGGTTAAAAAAAAAATGCTTGCTCAATGCCATTTGAAATTTGACTGTTCTAAAAAAGTAGGCTAGATTTATTGCTCTTGAAGTGTCTCTAAGAATATTAATTTCTCAGGTTAATTATTTGATATTAACTGAATATATAATTTGATGGATTATGAACAAGTGTGCATTTGATATTCACACACAGTTGTCTAGTTGGGAATATGACTTCTCTCCTTCCTAATTGAGAAAGTGTCATTTTCAATCAGAGCGGCTTCGGAAAGCAACAAAATTCTTTCTTGGAAAAGGAGAAGCAATTTAAGACAGGTGGCTGATGAACAGGTTTAGGGATTTTTCCAAACTGATGAATGTTTTTCCCCCTGGTGACATACATATTTTGCTAAGGTCTCATTACTAAAAAAATCAGGCCACTATTAAGATTTGTTGGCTGTGTATAAAATTAAAATTTCATTTTCTGTCAACACCTTCCACGTAGTATCTGAATATGAAAATGTACGCCAAGCTGTAAGGGTGTAGCCGTAGAAGTTCTAGTTGAAGTATTTTCTTAATTTACAATATAGGACATTATCATTATATTCTTACTTATCTACATTATGGCACCAACCAAAGAAAAAAAAAATTCTGCATTTTGGTTGTTCTTGTTCAGGTTCAGGTTCCATTTGAAAAGAAGTGCCAAACAGGGGCTTTTTGGACAAAATAAAGTAATTGTTGACATTCAAGAGCATTTTATTGGCTTTGAAGATTGGATACAGATCAATGTATGTTCATACTTTAGCAAAACTGCTTCTTTCACTCTTGGGTTCCTCAGAGAGGCTGTGAGGACTACATGTTCTTGCTATTTTTGTTTTTTGACTATTTCAGATTCAGACTTATTTTTCTAAATTCCAAATGACTAGCTTCCAATGCTCAGTACTGGGGCTAGTTCTGTTATATATCTTTATTGATAATTTGGACAAGGTGATCGAGTGCACTCCCAATAAGTTCACAGACAACACCAAGCTGGGCATGAGTGTTGGTCTGCTGGAGGGTAGGAAGGTTCTGGAAAGGAGTCTGGACAGGCTGGATCAATGGGACAAGGCCAGTTGTCTGAGGTTTAGTAAGGGCTGGGTCCTGCACTTTGGTCACAGCAACTCCATGCAGCGCTATAGGCTGGGGGAAGATTGGCTGGAAAGCTGCCCAGCAGTAAAAGACAGCCACTGACATCCTGGCTTGTATCAGAAATAGTGTGGCCAGCAGCACTAGGGAAGTGACTGTCCCCCTGTACTTGGCACTGGTGAGGTCACACCTCAAATCCTGTGTCCAGTTCTGGGCCCCTCAATTCAAGAGAGACATGGAGGTGCTGGAGTGTGACCAGAGTAGGTCAATGAAGCTGGTGAAGGGTGTGGAGTGCATGTCCTGTGAGGAGTGGCTGAGGGAGCTGGGATTGTTTCGCCTGGAGAAAAGGAGGCTCAGGGGTGATTTAATTCCTCTCCACAACTATCTGAAAGGAGGCTGTAGCCAGGTGGGGTCGGCCTCTTCTCCCAGGCAACGCAGAAGGAAACAGCCTCAAGCTGCACCAGGGGAGGTTCAGGCTGCACATCAGGAAGAATTTCTTCACTGTAAGGGTGGTTAAGCACTGGAAAAGGCCCAGGGAAGTGGTGGAGTCACTATCCCTGCAAGTGTTCAAGAAATGACTGGATGTGCTATGGTTTAGGTGATAAAGTGGTGTTCGGTCAAAGGTTGGACTTGATGATCTTGGAGGTCTTTTCCAATCTTAATGATGCTATGATTCATCTCTATGCTATTCTGATTCCTGGCAGTACACACATATTTCCACTGTCACAGTGATGTATTGGAAATAATAACATCATAATACCTCCATTACAACAGCAAAAACGTAAGTAAGTCCTTCTGGGAAGAAGGCTCTTAAGCTTTTATGTAAGTAGTATTCATATGAAGTTAAACAATTTTGTTTCCATTTTGTAATTTTTTATTAATATGTGACCCTTTCTGCAAGTGTAAAGTATTGACATTGTTTAACCCCAGCTGGCAAATAAGTACCACTCAGCTACTCACTTCCTTCCTCTCTCCCCTCTCCACCCTCAGTGGAGATAGGAAGGAGAAGCAGAAAAAGATAAAACCCATAGGTTGAGATAAGAACAGTTTAATGATTGAACTAAAATTAAATATAATACTCCTAATAACAGTAATAATATTTGTAATGAAAAGGAGAGAGAGGGGAAGAAAAAGAACCCAAGAAAGACAAGTGATGCACAATACAATTGCTCACTACCCAATGACCAATGTCCAGGGCCTGTCCCTGGGCAGTGATCGACATCTCACAGCCAACTCCCCCCCATTTATATGACCATGACGTTCCATGCTGTGAAATATCCCTTTGGCCAGACTGGGTCAGCTCTCCTGGCCATAGTTCCCTCCCAGCTCCTGGTGCACTTGCTCACTGGCAAAGTCTGGGAAACTGAAAAGTCCACAACTTAGAGTAAGCACCACTTAGCAACAAACAAAACATCAGCATGTGATCAACGTTATTCGCACGCTTAATCCAAAACAGAGCTCTGTACCAGCTAGTAGGAAGAAAATTACCTGATTCCCAGCCAAAACCAGGACACGTATAAAGTAAACAAGAAGTTAACTATTGTGTAAGGGTTATGGTATGACAACCACCATACCAAAACCTAAAGATGTTGACAAATTACTTTTGGTATATGTACTATTTATTCCCAGGTGTTAAGGTGCATTTTAATAATTTCCATATGTAATAATAATAATACCCGGGCAGGTGGGGCTCGTTAGCCCTTAAAGGCAACCCACCTACGTCCTAAGGACCTCACTGTCACCGTCCAAGCTCGCTTGGCCCCGGCAGATGAACCTTAGGATTAAAGGGTGTGCTCAGTTCCGCGCACACTGTGTCTCACCTAAAAAATCCAATGCGCAGGCTGGAAGGTGGAAAGACCTTCCCTGGACCTTCGCTCGCGAAGACTGGCCATTATATTATTAATAATAATAATAAAAAGTAAGAAATTATGTAAGTCACTTTAAAGTGACAGAAAACTATAAAAAGCAGTAATAATGGAAGCTTTACTGCATATTCACCACTACCAAGAGAGAGACTGGAAAAAACACAAAAAGGGAAAGACAAGTACAAGCATGATGTTCAGCAATAATGAGAAAGGGATAGAGAGATGCTAAAAATCAGAAAAGGTGACAGCAGAATAAGAGTGAGAATAACCTGCTGTCTAAGAATGTAATTTAGAAGCAGTGGGAGAGATGCAAGGGAAACCCAACTCATTCAGTGGTCAGAAAAGTAAGAGACATTTCAGGCTAGTTTTTCCAAACCTTCCTATTCCAACATATGTAAAAAAGTACTCTAACTCTTCCCCCTCGTGTACACTCAAGCCCATAGTTAGTGACCAAGATATGTGATGATCAGAGCACTGAAGTACATTTCCAGAAAAAAAAGTATGTAAAAACTACTTCGCTGTGTCAGGCCAAAGGTTCACTTCATTCAGAATTCCACCTAGGAGCTGATACAGAACATTCAGGAGAGATCACAGCCAGTGAGTGAGTGCCTGAGGCAGTTCATCCAAGAGCCTTTCTGTGGGGCTGCAGAGACTATCCCAGAGGGATGTAATCATTAACTTTGCAATCAATAGCTCTGGAATCCCTCTCAAAGTAACCTCATCTTATTCAAAGCAAGGAAATAAAAATAGCAGAAGCATTCTGCAGATACCAATCTACTGCTGATAATTTTTTTTTACTATGTTATTACTCAACATTTGAATAAGGGTAGATAAGTGAGTTAAATGACAGTTACAGAAGTCAAGGATGTACAGCAAGAAAATATTTCCATTCCCTACCTTTTCAGACTCACGAAGAACCCTCAGACACCTTAAGGTCATTAACTGCCCCAGCCCCTACTGCACTTTCCAGCCTCTTCTAGGCACATTTCTATTAGAAGACCAGAGAGGCACAAACAGTATCACCTAATCATGGCAGTGATGACCTTATCATTTAGTGAATATCTCACCCTTAGAGAATTAGACCTGTGGGTGAAGAAAGCTGTACCAGCTGTACAGGACCCCTCACTCTAAGGCCAGTTATGACTTCTCATGGCAGCAGAATGATACTGCAAAGTCTCCTTCCTGCTCTCAGCATTTGCTACTCATTCTCCCACTCCTGGACTTGCTGCCCAGCTGCTCAGAAGAACAAGAACTGTGGTAACAGAAGAGATAAAAGGTATATGGACTAGGGGTGTTTCAATCTGCCTTTTGTATGGAAAGTAAGTAAAGTAAATGGGTAAGTGAATCATGAACAGACCACCTTTTTTTTAGAAAAAACCTCATACTTTAAAGGTAACCACTTGTTACCATAGTCACTGGTTGGATAGCTCCTCAAAGCATAACAATGTCAGCATTTAGTCAACAGACTTCAAATACAACCCCCAAGGCTGTTTTGAGATTAAACTGTTTGATGCAAGTAGTCCCATGTGGTTATTAAATACAAAATAAGGTGTCAAAATAGGCAGTGGAAATAGAGTGTAAAGAGTTCTGGCTGGGAAGACCCTCAAGGTAAATAATGAAGGGCTGTACCCAAAATTAGGGAAACTTTTTGGGAATTTAAGTCTGAAGTATTTCTCTATGCTAAACAGCAGCAAGAGAAGAAACAGAAGTTCCACTTGCCAGGCCTACAGGCCAGGCAACAAGCCAGAACTTCTCTGGAGTGGCAAAATTGCACAACCTTTCACAGTACTGGAGCCCATTTATCAAACTAATTATGTGCTGCATGACTACTAAGCTTATGAAATGGAAGTACAGTGAGAAGCATGGAAGAGAGAACAGTTGCAGACCAAATGTAAGAAAACCAAACTCAAAATTATCTGTTTGTATCAATAATCATCATTTTCACTCCCTGCACAATGCTTGAACAATCGGAATGAAATAAAGACTTGATTGCAGTTACAAGGACCTCTATCAGAGCAGACTTTGATCCCACAGAGTCACAGTCATGTGAACTGCTCCTCCCAAATGCAATTTTGCTGTTTTCATTTTTGTACTCAGGTGAGTACCTGTATGGCCCAGGAGGCATCCTCAGCTGACTTACATGCCCTGTGGTTGTTCATAAAAACCGGATAATCAAACTGTCAGTTATTAAGTGCTCTAACCTACAAATTACTACTTCATAAGAACACCAACTATACACTCTCAGCTAACAGAAAACATCTGTTTAGCACAGTCAAAAGCACCCTGCAATTTCCAAATTACAATGGTCAAAGTTGTTATTCAGATGTTACTGGTGGCCTGATTTGGGAAGAGACAGGAATTCAAGTTTTTGAACTGGAACCACTCCATCTCAATCCATATTTTATCCAGAGAGTTAGCGAACTACTGGGGCATGCTAGGTAGTTTCCTAAACCTTAATTTGAGCCAACAGTAAAAAGACTGTCTCGTTTTCCTACAACCAAAACGATTCAAGCCAAGGCTGACAGCATGGTGGTATTCTGTGTATCATATAACAGAAGTGTTTCCTTCAAGTAAAATGAATTTACTATATAACTGAGTGACTGGTCCTGAATTGCAGCCACTTCTACAGCAAAAGAATTCCTATGCTAGAAGGAAGAAAACCCATCTGACTCGCAGTAAGACACAGAATTGGCATCAAGATAGACAAGCACCGTTTCTTCAGCAGAGTTCAGGCCTGCGTACCGAATTCTTTCACCAAGTGTTATGCCTGCACATATCCATCTGATAAGTTAGCAAGACCCTTTCTCTTGCTCTTCCCAACTTGTGAAATTCAGAGCATTTTCTGTAATCTCAAAAACCTGATTTTTGAGATAAGTGGTAAAAATCTGCCCAAAAATAACAGAAAAGGGAGTCAGCATCTGCTGATGAAAATTTTAGCCCAGAAGGTATGTAATTCAGATATCTGGACTTTGAAAATATAGTTTTTAATGACTGGAATACTGATAGAAATGAACTGTAAAACTGTTTAATGTAAATTATGCAATATAAGCACTAGTGACACAAGCTTCACCTCTTCAAATAACATTCAACAAACCCACCAGAACTTTCTGTGCACATATGAAATTGCTGTGTTCATTTCTGAATACACTGTTAAGATCAGCACATGCATTTTCACACATCCTGGGGTGCACCTCATGGACAGGAGACCACCAAAGGTCTAGTCTAGAAAACACTTCCTTAGAGTTTGTAGTACTGATTCTACATATCACAACTGCTCAGCTGTGAATTGTAAGAACACCAAATGAGAATAAGGTGCAGCTCTGTCCTATCAGCTGGAAGCAAGGCATTGCTTAATGAGGATTTAATGCTGTTTCATATTAACATCCAGAGTCACACGGGTAACCTGAAAAGTACAAACCGATCAGAGTCCAAAACCGCATTCCAAATCTTCTTCTACTTTTCTGACCTCTGTAACTGTGCTGTTTATATAATTTCACTCAATGGCATTAACAAAAGTTGTGCAAACACAGCAAAATAGAGGGACTATAATCTTATCTCTTCAATACACCCTAGAAAAAAGAGTAATTGGCATTTTACGGCTGGTTCGACAACCTCTGGCCACAACAGGAATAGAAAATCCTGAAAACGATAATGGTTATAACTATTACCAGAGCTCATGGGAAAATCAAGGATCTTTTTAACTCTCCCCGCGCCCACCATCTTCCCAGGTGAGAAGTCCTCTTGGCGACGCACCTCCCAGTTTCCCGGACACAGGAGTTCCAGCTGTATGGACCCCGCTCCCTAAAGCACAAACTTTTCAGCAAAACTTTCCCCCCGCTGCCGTGGGCGGCGCGGCCGTGGATCCCCTCCGAGCCCCAGGGACCGCAGGGAGCCCCCGCCGCCCTCCCCACCCCGCCCCTCCCGGCCCCGCCGCGCACTCACTGCCGGTGAGCAGCACCAGGGGCACGGTGATCGCCACGACCGCCACGGCGACCCCCACGGTCACCAGCAGCCACTTCAGGAAGCTCTGAAAGGAGAAGTCCCATCAGGCGGCTGTCGCGCAGCACCAGCCTGCGCTGCCGCCTCCCCCTCCCTTTCCCTCACCCACCGGCATCGTGCGGAGCGGGGCGGGCGCGGTGGGAGCGGGGCCGGCGGGCTGCGGCTCTGCAGCCCCGGCGCTGCCCGCGGCTCTGCTCGGGAGCGGCGCCTGGGCGGGGGCTGCGGGTGGCTGCCTGGGGAGCGGCAGACACCGGGGGTTGTGCAAGATCCCGGCTTTCCTGCTGTCTTTGAGGTCTGAGCGGCGGTTCCTCCGTCAGCTCACACCCTTGGAGCGCGGAGACACAGCTGTGCGCGGCAGAGGAGGGACTTGGGACACCGGAGGGATTTCTGTCGGAAATCAGATAACGGCCCAGAAGTTAAATGCCTTCAAACGCTGGTGGCAAAGCTCCCAATGCTATGATAACACCAGCGTTTCTCGTAAAGTTTCTACTCTTTGAACTTCTTTCTCCGGCAATCAAGTCATGGAAGGACTGATAAAATTGCGGGAAGTGCTTATACTTATTTGTTTCACACTGGAGATAGATTTGTAAGTCTGCAAATTGGGATTTTAAATGAAGACCAGAAAATGGAAGTGTAGGATGAAAGTTTAAAATCTAGCTCTGAAGGTGACCATGGTTTATCACATCAGATAATTCAATTTCCAAGTACAATTTCGACTATGTGCTGGGATAGTAGGACTTATTGGTGGAAAAGACACAGCAATCTGTAAAACAAAACTTTAAAGCTATTGATTGTTTAAAAAGCTGAGCAAATTATTTTAAGAGAATTATACCCTGAAAAAAGTAACTATAAGTTGTGCCTTTAGTTTTGTTCATTGTAGGTTTCCTCCCTCTATTTGCAGAACATTAGGAGTTACCAGAGAGAGGTGCAGGTTTTTTTACAACTTGAGAAATGTATCAGAAAAAGTATATGATCTGCTGAAGCCAGAGATTTGAGGTCAAGGGAGACAGCAAGTGTTCTTAGTCTTGCCTTCAAAATACTTGTCAGAGCTTTCAGTAAGGTTATGCTGCTTGTTCCTTCATTCCTCCTTGCTCCATGCAGATAGAGCACAGCATTTAGTATTTTTCTGCTGTTTCTTAAGTAAACTGTCTGGAAGTGGATTAGTAGCTTTTTGTGATGGATAAATCTCCTTTAGAATAAGGCAAAGTACTTACAAACAGTAAAGATAAGTATATGTGGAAGGTATTAGACTTCATGTAAATACAAGCTTATGTTCTTACTCACTTGTATACAATTCTCCTTGAAGGTAGCAGTTGCTACTAGTTATGAATTTGCAGTGTGGTAGCTATATCAGTTTACCTTAGGAATGCTGTTAATCTGCTCTGACAGTGGTTGCAGGTCGGTCAGTGTAAGTTTACCATGGAGGATCTAACATGCTGCAATTTTACAGCTACCTAACCCCTAATTCTGAGTACAGATAAGTCCACTTCTGTAAAGTAAAATCACAGTGAAACTGCAGTCTTTTACATTACTTTTCAAACTAGTATCTCATTATGTGCTGTGAGATGCATGACTAGTGTTTCAGAATGTCTTACAGCTCCACTTAAATATACTCTGCACTTGCTAGTCTTATCAACAATGAAAAGAAAAACAAAACCACCACCATCCCTCACCCATTTACCTATAGTGCATTTACCTATTCCCAGTGAGTAGGAATCACAACATATATATAATTAAGCCAACCTGGGCTCCACCCCCCACCCCCACCCTGTCAAGAACATTTAAGAAGTGATCATCACAGTGTCTCCAAGTATAGCATGGTCAAATTATGTCAGTCTTGTGATAAAATGTATCTGAACAATACCAAGGTTTTCATAGCTGAGTTGCAGATTAATAATATTTTGAGAGATTATCTGCAAGGTTTTAATGCTTCTTAGTAGTGAATTCTAAAGGAGAATAGAGACTAGTGCTGGCAAAGCATAAGCCTGGCTTCTACTGGTTTCAGTGGGCACAGTTTTAAGTGCCTTTGCAAGTCTGGATTTGTGTATCTAGATCACATTGTTAATGATCTACAGTGCTTTTGACTCTGGTCATGCCAGAGAGGCTTATGGGACCTGAATCTGTACTCGGAATCACCTGAGTGATCTGGTAAGAGTCAGTATAGCAGAATATTTTCCACTTAGTTGCAATAGTTTCCAGCAGTGATTCTCTACACCTTGAAAAAAAATCTCCAGCTCCTCCTCTCTGATCAAAATGCCCGTGGTTCTAAAACTTATTTTATGGTTGTGATTCTGATGCTGTCAGATTGTCTTTTGTAATAGCCTGAGATTTAAAAAGTTCCTCCAGCTAAATACTTCAAGTTACTTAATACCATGGTGTTCTTTTGCAATCAGATATGTATTAATATGATGCCAAGAGATTAAACAAATGAATAGCCAGCAGTGGCTGCTACATGACAAAATCTGAGAAGCCATAGCTGTTCATCATATTGTATGCTCAACACAAGTGTATTCATAAAGAAGTTACACGATTGCAAAGATCTATTCACTAGAAAGAACAAAACCACAGCTTTCAGCCTGAAGGTTGGCTTTCCCAAACACTTGATAGACCTGCCAGATGCAATGTCTCCTTCAGACCTCTAGAGAAACTCAAGACTGTTACGTGTCTGTTTATACATTTGATTCCTCCAGAAATATTTAGAGAAGTCAAACAGGAAAAACGGAAAATGTAAGCTCTCTGCAGAGTCAGAAAAATTGTTTGTGAATAAAATGTGTACAGTCTACTTTACAGGTGCAATAATGTGTTCCAGATGTCTCCATGTGTGCTGCGGGAGACAAATATGTACTGAAGAAAGTTTTGTACAGATTCACAGCATTTCAAATGTGCTGTGAGGAAGAGAAGGCAAAAGTGCTATTAGCACTGTGAAGTGTTCAAGTTCTACTGGACTAGAAGTGTCTACAAATATACTATTTTTTTTCTGAAATTATTTCATTTTTTCTTTGCATTTGAGGTTGAAATGGCATAAGGACAGTTTTGTAATATGTCTTTGCACTGGTTCTGTTTGAGAGGATTGTAAAAAGAATGTTAACTGTAAATCAGGGAAGCTAATGAGAAAAAATCCTATTTTATGTGATTATGTCACTGGGACAACCATTTCAATGTGGCTCGTAGCAGCTGTCATTCAGTTCTTTCAAGTTTATGTATTTTTCTTTATCAAATTATTTTCTTGGCAACTGCAGATTCTCACCACATGTCCTCAGAGCACAGCTGAATGATTAGAATGTCTCAGGTTTCTGTCAATTTATTTTTGTATTAATTCCAGTTAATTGTCTTTTTTTTTTTTTTCTTACTTCACTTTGCTTATTTTTCCAGATACTTAATAAATAGTGTGGAAGAGGAAGGATGCTGCACATTCAGCAAATAAAATGCAGTTAATAAAGGAAATAATATTGGGAACACTTTTTAATATGAGGCCACCTGGAAGTCCTAGGCAGCACATGTGCAGATACACAGAGGACTCTAGCTGTTGTGTAGTAAAGACAGAGTGACTGTAACTTATTTCTCCCTATATTTGTACCATTCCCTGAATTTCATGTAGCATGTATGAGAAGCATCCAGCACATAACTCATGATTTTTCCCATATGGACTTGCCCTGTGATTTCAGGATATGTAAATCCTAATCTCATTGAGCTAAAACATGTGTTTGGAATTTCTGAGTACAAGCTCAACTTCATCTCTCTTCTGAAAAAAGGGTCTCTTTTGATTCATGGTCTAGATTGGGATTTATAAAATTAAAGTTTAAGTGTTTTTGTTGTGTTCCAGACAAGGGTAATAAATTTGAGAAATTAACTTATACCCCTCTGTTCCTAAAGCATATAATTTGTAAGAATGTGGAAAATCCAGTATATTCATAGCTGACAAAGCCATCACCTGAAAGACCTCAAATACCCTGGTGACAGACATCACAGCAAAATGGATTTATAACTTAGGAATCCTGTCCTTCAGAGCACTACATATTCTGGACATAATGGAATAAAACATTTCAAAGACAATTGTTCAGTCTATGGAAACTGAAGCTTTATGTTAGTACCATTTTAGCCTGGACTGTGTGTATCCAACTAACTGATTTTTTTTTAGTTCCAGAGAAACTTGGACCCAAACCACTGTACACAAATGGGATTAAATAAACAATAAGTGGTAATTTGGATGCTATGATGGCTTTTTTTATTGCAGGGTTCTACTGAGTTTTAATATTGAAAGCTGGGATTTTAGAATAGCTTTCTGTTGCTGTCAGGAAACTGTTCTAGATGCCAAGTTGGGTGTGATCAGTCCTGAAACTACAAGATTCCTGTAGTACTTTGGAAGTACAGTCTAGTATTTTTCAAAAAATTCTAGATCACTGAAAGTTGCAGATGCTTTTAAAAACCTAATTCCTACAAAAATTTTGTTGCTAGCAAAAGGTATAGGTGCTAATTCTGATTCAGCAGCGGTCCTGCTTCACATCAACTTCTATTTGATACTTGCAGAGCCCATTGGCTTTCTGTTGAAATACTTGCCCTTTAGGACATTTTAATATAGATCCCTGGTGTATTACTCTTATAGCAAGGGGAGAGAAGGAGGTTTGGGTAGTCAGTGGAAGTAAGAGCTATGTAACAGCACTTGTGGCTATTTGAGAGTTGTAGCTACAATCATACCTACAAAAACATGCTTTGGCCAGCTGAGAGCATAAGCGTTTGGATTGCTGGGAACACTGAGATCTGCATGCAAAATGTTCTGTTACCGTGCTGGAGAAGGCACAGGTCACTGAAATGACAGCTGTGCTGGCAAGTCCCATACAATGCTGCTAAATGCAAGAGATGATGGACAAAGTGGTTCTCAGGGGAAGAAGGCAGGAAAGAATACAGTGCAGATTAGAGGGCCTTTTGAGTTGGGTTTTTCTTGGAAATCTTATAAAATTTGAAGAAATATCATGGCAGTTTTCACCACTTATCGGTTATATTGCACTTAATATTTTTCAAAGCTGTCTTCCTGCTTTTGCTGAGAAACCAGGATTTATTTACTAATGAAGAATAATTGTCTCTTCAGTCATGTTTCCCCCTCTAGCTTCATCTCACATGATTTCTTTGTCAACTTTGTAACTCAGAGTTCACACAGCTCTTTCCTGGGAATCATTACAAGGAAAATGTGACAGAACAAAATGTTGAGTTTGTTTTATCATTCCAAACAAACCACTTTCAAGATCTCAGTGGCACTAAAATATTAGAATAAAATGAAATGGAGGGAAAAGAGGCACAAGGGATATACACATGA